AAGACCTTAACTAAACGATTGGGTTAATCTGTGATGTTATTTGGGCTTCTACTGAATCGATTTAAAGCTGCTTAACTTATTTAAAACGGGCCAAGAAATACCCTGATATTAATTTATAGAAACGGAAATGTTTTAAAATAGAGGTAATTTACCGTTTACAGCCGTAATTCACCTTTTCGTAAGATTCGCTGGTGTCAAATTTGTGCACGACACAAAGAATGCACATACTTCATTTTGCTACTAATCGTATCTTTACCAATTAAGGTAAAGGATCAAAGATTATTAGTAACGTGAAGCTACAAGGGATACCATTTCCGTCTTACGATACAACTTAGTAGGAGCTCATGCGATTACGTCACTATATGATAGCAGTATTTCCTAGCAGTGACTATCGGTGCCACACCATTCTCCCAGGATTACAGAGCTATCGATGATGTAATTTGCTTGACCACACCGGAAGGGAAGGGAATAGGTTTTATAAATATGCTTATCAGTGTGTGATTAGCGCATTTCGAATCTTCTGCATATCTGTCGACACATCCTTAACTCCTGCTTATATACCCGTTGTTGTTTTTTTCTAAAACTTAAAACTTCTTTCGATTGTTCATTTGTGCTGAATAGCTTGCATACTAAGAATTCCAACTCTAAGAATTCCGACTCTAAGAATTCCAACTCTTATTCAAACCATTTCCAACGACTCGATGAAACAAAAGATGATTTGTCTTGAAGTAAGTTCCTGTGACATTGCTTTATTGAATTTGTTATCCATTTTGGAGGTGAAAGTTTAGGGCACAATGGCAGAAACCATAGAGGACAATGGTATGAACCATAGGGCACATGACGCCATAAATTTTGGTTAAATTTTCATTTATTTCCCGACAATTAAATAATTGTTCCTCCTCACGCACGTGTGCACCCGGGCCCTATTTCAGTTATCTGAAACCTGCCTAGTGCGGGACTAATAAATAACCTGGCACCTTCGGTCGCTCCATAGCCCCGAAATCTTCCCAACCATGTTGCATAACGTGAAAATAAACGGTAGTTTGAACAGGGAAATTGAAAATGATTAGATACAAATTTGTGCCTAGTTTAGGGCACGAAAATTTCCGTCAAACGTCATGTGTCAGCCACGAGCCCTGTAACCACGTTTATTACGTCTCTGTTTACCTGTTGCAGTTCCTAATCTCGGACATGATTCACCGTGCGAATTATAGGGCACGTTGCAAATTTTCGAGAACAACATTATGTTAATTTCTGACTTCCGATCATGGCAGAACGGCTGTCCGACCTGTTAAAAAATGAAGGAATTCACGAGATCGAGACAGACTGCTAAAATTTGTAACGATTACTCCGGCTCAGCTCTGACTTTACCTTAATCGTCCTGGTTTTGTGTTATGAAAATAAAAACTGTGTGAATATATTAAATCATCGCTTGTCTGTCCGTGACCTTAACCATTGTTACCTACGTCTAATATCATCCTGTAAACATATCTCAGCATCATCGGAAATAACCGGGTTTCACGGCTTAATCTTGAAGAAAGATCTTTCGAGTACCAATTCGTTAAAAGTTAATAATGCGGGGAATCAATGAATCATCATTTGATATTCCTAGTGATACCGGGGACAGTGGTTGGCATTAATTCAAGTATGGGAAAATATAAACTCTGGAGTCAGACTTCCTGACACGGGGGTTGACGTAAAGGGGAAATAATGACCGTTAAGGAGCTTTTGTACCTCTCATTGCACCTTGACCCCCACGTGACCACCGGCTTTGAAATATTTAGAATATTTGCGGCTGAGTAGCAGCGAACTGTTATTTGGAAATATTTACCTAATGAAGTTAGGCCGGCAGTGCACTGGTGTAAGGGTCCCATCTCTAAAAATAAAGCTTCCTAATACCACCATCTTATTAGATTTACTGATTAGCAAAACCTATGGCGTCCGCTTAAAGGGTGACAATTGATTATACTTTGAATCTTTAATGTGTTTCGCCAGGTGCATTCCTTACCTTATAAAGCGTTATATTACCTTATAAAGCGAGAGCGTCGAGCCGAATTAAGTTTTAATTCTAGAATGTTATGACCTCAAGTGAAAAGCAAACATGAACCATGCCATTCGTTCTCCTGGTATGTGGTTAGGTTGAAAGAGTCACGGGAGACGAGAAATATCCCAAAAATTATCAAATATTATGATAATTTGGGGAATCCGGTCTTGTAAAACTGTCACCTTTGTCTATTTCACGTTTAGGTGGGGTTTAAAACGAACGAGACCAGTGCCAGAGATAGTTAGTTCTATGCTACTTTGTGTTTTACGTAAATCCGCGTGGTTCGAATTATCATTTTTTCGTGCATGGTCTCGATAAATCACCTGCTGCTAATAGAGATACGTGAATATGTTTTCTAAGTTTCCTTAAATTCTAAGCTACCATGACAATTTCCTGCTAGGCGAGTCAACGTCTCAATACTTGGTAGACCATAATATGACGTTGACTGTACGGGGATTTTAACGCTCGTGTCTCTTTTTGACCGATGAACATGTCTCATGCTTTTGAACATGTCTGCTGTTAGACTAACGTCAATAATTTTCCCAGCAATTCATTATTGATGATGTATCGTTATTTACAGTATACATCATAGGTTACAACCTATTTTCCGGTTCTGTTAGAGGAAATGTCTAATTTTGTCCTAAAAGTCGTCATGTTCATCTTCACTGATCTTGCAGCTTGAGTGAGAGTCAAAGCGGTTTGATGTTCTAATTAGCTTGAAAGGATATTATTAGGAGACAACTTATCTTTAAGAATCTAAATTTAGGACCTCTGGGCTTTGATGAAGTGCGTGATTTCTCGTCAAAGGAAGTTCAAGTTCGGCTTCAGTGACAATGTCATTGTGTTTCAAAAGAATTTCCAACCTCCTTTGTACCAAAAATCATTCCAGTTCATACCTTTGAGGGTTCAAAACAGCCGAGGACTGAAAAATATAATTAATTTATTCATTTCCCTGAACGGCGTTTAGATTGCAAACGACCGCGGTAATCAATTAACTTATTGATCATCGTTTAAACACACTGCATATATTTACCCAAACTCGGTTTATCTTCGTTTTACTGAAGATTGAAATCTGCACAATATTTACGGGAGCCGATTTAGCAATTAGTGTGATGGAGGACAAAGCTACATGCCTGGCAAACTCGACCAAATTATCACCTATTAACCAGCTCTATCTTGCTGGAGAGAGCGAGAGGGGTCCGGGGAATCCGAGATTTTGAGAAAAGGTTCCGGATATTTAATCAAATTATCACTAAATGATTCCTTATCAGTAAACCGCCACGTGACTTGCGCGTGCACTTCAGAATCACGTGACCCATATCCATGATAACCCAGGTCCTCGGCTGAGCTGAAACCATTTCCAATTCTCGTCCAAACGATTTGTCAACTCTAGTTTACTATCTTTGCTTTTTCCGTTCACCATGCAAACTGTTGATTCAATGTACAGAAGGCTGTCAAGCAAAAGGGGCTCAAAGAAAGGCAAGAAACTGATAGGAGAAACTGCCGGCTACATGTCCACTAGTTTATTTGTGTTGAGTAACGACGTCAAGATGCTCAGATCTGCTCTGTGGTGCTCTGGTGGTGGGGCCAAGTCCGAGTGCGAAAAGGTACTTCAATTAACTCCTTCAATTAACTCCTTCAATTAACTCCTTCGATTGCTCCTCAATTAGCTCCTCCAATTGCTCCTTAGATTTGCTCACAGAAATTGTTCCTTTTATAGTTTCCTCTGATGTATTTGGTGAAGGGGGAGGGAAACGCAAAAATGAGGCTTGAAATATTTTATATCTTCCCTTCCGCATTGTTAGGATTCTTTCGCAAATTAAATTTCACCATTTAACAAGCTTCTCGCTCTATTCACCTGACCATCACCTTCCGCATAGTATGAATACCTCCTAATTGCAAACTTTAAGATAAATTGTGAACTATGAGATAAAGTAGTAAATGTAACAATAGAAATATGTGTCGAAACGGCTGCTGATCTAAAGCTCTAAACGTTCCTTAATGACCGATAGCTCCGACACTGTCTGGTCCGTAATAGGACAAGGGTTTACGACACAAATTGTTTGCACTTTAATAGACCATGCAAGGGAGAATTTTATCTGGTAAACATCAACACTCGTCTTTCTGGTCGCCAGAATTTGCATATCTGTGTCGGTATTGTCTGATGTTGAGTTGTTTTGTAGAGCTGTCCAGTCCTGATCTATATTTAGAGCTAGATCATGACTACAAAGTTTACGGTACCAGTGGTTTCTGTGGTGCCTCGTTTTAAGATGAAATTCAAAATGAAAAATGAAATTAAAGTTAAAAGAAATGACATCATTCATGTCAAGAAACCTGAAATTCAAGTTAAGAAACCTGAAATTCAAGTAAGTCTGACGATATACTTTAAATTTTAATACCGATTCAGTTTAATTAGTTGCATACAATTAATACATCTCTACTTCGTAATTGCATCGGTACCAACTCGCCAGTCATTTTTTCTCGAATACTTTTCAACCTCCCAAATTTATCCGTCTCTTAGTTGTAGTATGTCGTGTCTCCCGGGATTAAAGAATGTTGTCCTTACTTTAATTGGTTGCCAATGTCTTGGTGTATAGTTTTTGAGGCTGATTAACTGTGCAAGTGCTAAATTCTTCATATCTGGGGTACTAGGAAAAGGCGACTAAATCAATTAAAAACCTCCACTGTACTATAAAAAAGTAGAGAAACGTGTCAATAATCAATATATAGTAGTGTTGTATTGTCCCTGCTGCGCGAGTAAGTTATATGTTTTATCTAAACCGTGCTGTATATTTACCGTATGGCAAAAGTGGCCAATTGCTATTGTGTACCGGGATTTGGGTTACGGGATAAGGGGATATTTCGATAACGGGAATGTTTGATCGACCATATGTTGAATTTGTGTTTAATATTTTGTTTTGTATCTTTGTAGATTCTAACCGTTCTTTTATTTCAGGCTCCGTTCCACTCACCGTTCGAAGGTACAATCAATCTGTCAATGACCGCTAAAGAGGCCATCTCATCCCAACCTCCCTCCCACAAAGGATTCTTGGTTAGTTACTTTAATTTTTCAAACTTATTCAGAGTTCAACGAGTTTACCTTTTAAACCTCAAACATTTTCAATTTGTCCATCATTTTCAGATCCTTTGTTGATGTTTTTATCAATTTGCCGTATTAATGTTTGTTGATGTTTCCGTTATGACAAATGTGCCAAATTATCCTTCAACGCGAAAATTCTTGGGCGTAATCATTTTGCATTGACAATCTGCGGTCACAAATACAAGGTCGTTAGCTTGAACACTGTTTTACATCCTCCCGGAAACATAATGTCTTCATGACCACTTTTAAAGTGACACTCCAAACATTTGGCACTCCGTCCGCCTATAACATCCTGCAGCGACATAACCCAGTTAAGATAATAATTTTATACGGATTTACTAACAACCCCTCTTCTTCAGACAATATTCCAAGACGAGTCCGGTTTAGGAGCCTGGAACAGAAGGTGGTGTAGTGTTCAGGATAACAAGATCTACTACTGGCTCTACCCCGAGGATGAGGTCAACCAGAATAAGGTTATTATTTGAATGGGAATTCATCCGGTATTCAGGGTCTAGACTCTTGGTAATACGGTTCTTCCCAGGGATTAATTACTAATTATTAAATCATAATTAACGCACATGACAATGTTATCGCGATCTTGATATCGTCATCTGATATGTGGGTAAACAAGGCCGGTTGTGTCTAGATGGAAAGGTCTAGACGTTTCCCCGAGGGCTAAAGATCTGTCAGACCCCCTTATCTCTTTTGTCTTATTCTCGTGTTAAAGACAAATCAATTACATAATATACACGTATAGTATACGGGTGATAAAGTGTAAATTATCACATTTTCACCCATTTATTTCAATCTTATCTCAATTTAGTTCACTTTTATTTCTCCTGACTTAATCTCTAATATCCTTCCTTTTTCAGCAACCCCACGGTGAAATCGACCTCAGGAACTGCAAAACAGAGACTGTCTCAGTAGCGTCCCGTCTGGACTGCGCTCGTCCCAACACATTCGTCCTAGTGATCATGGCGGCAGCTCAACCTGGTGACAGAACCAGCATCATTACAGAGAGCAATGGCAAGACCACACAGACCAAGTAAGTAACTTTAAATTCTCTCTAGAAACTTCTTATAAACTTTAATTCCTCTCTTATGAACTTGTTGTGAACTCTAATTCTCGGACCTGTGTTAATACGTCATGGTAATTGTGATGCGGTCCGTTTCTCGCGTCTTCCTGGACCCGGAACTTTTAGACAACAATGAGAATTCTGTAATCCTCTCAGCCTTCTCATTCCTGGAAATTATCGGTTTTGGAATATTGTAATACTCGATAATTCACCAAAGTGGTCTAATTATTATCTCTCTAATACAATCTAATATTAAATATAATCTCTCTCCTCAGATACCTTTTATCAGCGGACAGCCGAGAGGAACGAAAACAATGGATGGAAGTGCTGAACAAGTGTTTACAGTCTGTACACTCTTGGAACCACTGAGCACTCACGTGACTGTAACGTGAGCATGTCACGTGATTAACTCCAGACTTTGTCAGTAGCAGCAGCAGTGTAACATGAACATTAACTGTAATATTCATGTGCGATATTATTAGAGAGAAACAGGAAGTTGAGAATTGTGATGTAAAACACAGAATGTGTTTGTTCAGTCGCAGTAGAAAAACAAGGGAACTTTCGTTATCTGCATTGAGACTTTCGGCTGATTGAGAGATGACATTATGGAATCCATACGGAGATGGATATCCAGGCGGCCGCAACGTCTACAAAACGTCGGTTGTTGTAATTGGACAATTTATTTAATCGTTGCACGTGAAAGTGTATATTCTGTATTAGGTGAGGACAGCAAATTGATTGTTAGAATTTAATTGTTAATGGTTATGTAGTTTCAAAACGTGCGCATGAGATACCTGCGACTATAAATAACTTTGTTTTGTTTTGGGAATGTTGGTTGGAAGATGGCCAACACAAAATCGTTAAAAAATAACCCTTTTTTTCTGTTGTTTGTTTTTGATTTCCGTTTAATGTCTCAAAATAAATTGTAAAGTGTTTAAGAGATTTTCAATCAAAAGGTGAACGCTTTAACTCAAACTGTCAACCATCACATCCAGTTATTTTTGCAGACTTTTCATTTCCAGTAGTAATACTCATCAGCAAACGTGTATATCACTTGTATGTATCTTTCTGAGGATCGATAACATGTTATATTTTTATACCGATTTTGGTTGATAAATTAATATGTCAATAAATATTATGAGAACTTTGTTGAAACATAATATGATTTGTTTTACTTTTTAATGGCACTGGTCCCGCAGTTGAACAATGACGATTGTTGACCCAAAAATTTAAATTTATAATCACCCAACACTTAAAGATAAATTGTATCAATATTATATCATAGTATGGAACGTGCCATGCTTATGACTAATGATATAGAATGTTAGTATCGAAATTCGAAAGGGATGAGAAGGTTTATGTAGCGAGCATTTCAGGATTACTAATATTGTGTATTCAATAAAACTAATTCATAATTACAAATTACCACTTTTGTATCCTGAACGTGAAGGACTGCAGATTATTATGTATTAGCTGTTGAGTAATTGAGTAGAAACCCTGAGATAATTCTGAATTCTCATTTTCAACCACAAACCAACACTTTTTCAAGACAAATAGATAAATACAGATGACAAATATTACTTGTGTTGCAAAAATACACTCACAACTCATCAACTATATCATATATACAGTATAAATATAATAATTAACCAGGCGCGCGCTACTTTTGTGTTTTGACTTCAGTTTCACAGAGCTTTGCCTGGGGTAATATTTTCAATTTTTCCCGATCCATGACTCAAAGTGCCGGAGGCACAAAAGAGTCAAAGACAAGGGTTATCATGCGGCTGCATTGTACTTGTAGCGCGATGCGTTACTGGGCCGCGCCGCGCACTCAATTATGCTTTTCGCAACCTCGCTAGATCGGCAAAATGCGCTACTTGGCCTCGCCGAGCTGCGATGAATTGACATCGCGTCGTCAATTAAGCGGCCGCATTTCTTGTTCATGATTTTAAGGCGCAGTTTATATCTCTACAGAAAGCTTACCTGTGACCTGGGGACCTCAGGCTTCGCATAGCCATGTACTTGGTACTGCATACGCGTACTGCTTGACGGATGTTACTCGTCTAAATTTCTTCGAAGTAGCGCGCGCCGGGCCAGATCATTAACAATGGTCAAGCGTACTGCGTGACGCGCTTGTTTCACAAGTTGAAGTCCTTTGCCGCCTTCGGCGGTCGCGCGCTACAGCAAGCGAGAGGCCGAGAGGGCACTGGTTAGAGCGAACCTCAGGCTATAATGTTTATTAACATATAGAGATTTGGCGGAATGACACGAGTGTGCTAAATCACTCTACAGTCGATCTACGAGACTGTTCTGAAAGGGCCCCCGACAGTTGAAACCAAATTGAATCCATGTATTTTCGGACGCTGATTCAGAATCACCCCCCATGACATATGGTTAAAATGCTCCCCTGCCGAGATATTGGCGAAAAACTGTCTTGATCACGTGATATGACCGTATAAGGAAGTTGGTCGAATTTCTCGTTAGGGTAAGGGTTTCAGCATATGCTTTTGTTAGGGATTGGGTTAGGGTTAGGGTTGGGATCAGATAAGAGGGTTAGGGTTTCGAAAAGTCGTTCAGGGCCAGCTAGAGAACGGGTTTAAAAAGTCACGTGACAGTCGAGTGTAGAGTGATTAATCATCATCCGGAATGACAGGCTGAACGCGGCCCAGTAACAGAAAGCTTAATACATTGTCGTTTCACTAGGTGACTGTATCGTGACTACGATACAGCGGCGGCTCTGCAACGTATGACAAGTTGTTTGTATTTCGAAAAAAATGCAAACGCGGCTATATATTTTGATTGACGATGCCTCCCCTTCCAAATCACTTTACACTTGACTTGTAGGTTTATAACCTCAAACCTAGCAAAACGTGTGCCGAGTTGGACTCGCATAATATTTGAAACAAGTATTTTGCGAGTTCACCTTATATGACCATGTGCGTTTGCACCGGCGTCCGGCCATGCGGGAATTGGGCGCGCGCTACTGCAAGCGCAAGGGTTCTGGAATCTCAAATCTGGATAAAGCAATTTTGCGAGTATCACCCGTTAACTGTTTGCTGTTAACACTTGATTATCACATGACCTTACTTAAACATTAAACATGCTTTGTAGATATAAGCCCTAAGGGTCTATTAAAAACCCATGAAACTAAACCCTTTACTTTGACCCCAACACTAACCATAACCCAATCTGCAATCCTTAACAAGTGATATTTTCACCTAGCCATGAGTCTACGCGTACTGCAAGCGAGAGGGCTCTGGATAGAGTAAAGTAATAGTCAAGACCGTCGACGAGTCCAACTCGGCGCGCGTCTTGATCTTGGTAAATTATAAACCTACAACCCAATACAATACTTAACCTAGGCTATCCATTATCGGTATGAAATCTTTTATCTAGATAAACAGATAAATATTTAGGTTTTATCTAGATAAAACCGATAAAACCGATGATTTTTCTGCTGAAGGCCAAAGCCAAAATGTTTTCCGAATTTCGCAAAAACTAATTGTCGACTTTTATTACTGTTTACCAGTAATCTTGCTAAAGTACCACTTCCTTTCTTTTGAAAATATTAGAGCATCAGTTTTCTTCTCCGGGGAGCAGAAGTGTACCAGTTTTCTTCAAAACAGTAGACCAACGGTTTTCTTCTCCTAAGAACAGTAGTGTACCAGTTCTCTTCAAAACAGTAGACCAACGGTTTCCTTCTCCTGAGAACAGTAACGCACAAGTTCTTTTCAAAACAGTAGACCCCACCGGTTTTCTTTTCCTGAGAACAGTAACGCACTAGTTCTCTTCAACCAACGGTTTCCTTTTCCTGAGAACAGTAACGCACTAGTTCTCTTCAAAACAGTAGACCCCACCGGTTTTCTTTTCCTGAGAACAGTAACGCACTAGTTCTCTTCAAAACAGTAGACCACCGGTTTTCTTCTCCTGAGAACAATAACGCACCAGTTCTCTTCAAAACAGTAAACCACTGGTTTCCTTCTCCTGAGAACAGTAGTGCACCAAATACCAATTCTCCTCGAAACAGTCAAGCATTTAAAGTGATTCAGTGAACCGTTTTCTTATCCTGTTGATAACTTGGAGCAACAGATTTCTTCTCCTGAAGACAATGTTTCACGCCCAGAACACTTACAGAATTCAATTGAGTGCCCTGCCGGTAATTTTGACTCTTGTTAACAGTAACATGCTCGTTCCCGTTTCCAGAATAATTATAAGGTAAAACGCCAATACCCTCAAGAGAACAATGTCAATAACCTTCTCTGGATTTCAACAGTTCATACAGTTCTACAGTTCCATAGGTATACAAATGTAAATAAACCTCACATCTAAGTAAACCACCTCTTATATCATACTAGAAAACGTTTGGGACTGTTTCTTGGATTACTTGGAAAGGCAAAAACACTAATATTTTTTTACAATTTTACGGTATTGTGGCAGTATTTTCGGTAATATCTAGTAAATTTTTATACCGATAAAAATATGTTTTATCTAGATAAACAGATAACTTTTTTAAACGAATTATCGGAGATAATTATCGGTTACGATTATCGGAGTGGATAGCCTAACTTAACCATTACACATTAATTATGGCATTTGTTCATTTTTAATGGACTGATCCAGCTACTTTGAAGAAATTTATACGAGTAATTGGTAATAAAACAAAATTTTTAATAAATTTGTATTTTATACCCACAATCAATTCATATTTAGTTCAAATATTTATAGTCGAAATAACCATTTTACCGAATAACCATTCCGAATCACCCCCATGACATAGCTTGAAGCCAGGCAGCTGCAGAAAAAATGCCGCGCGCGTTCAGCGTTGATTTTACAAATGACAAAGCAACTTTAATGATTATTAATGGAATTATCGGATATTTATAATTCAATATGTATTGATTCTTCTGTGGAAAATAAAAATTGTATTTTACTTAAAAATTGTATTTTACTTAGGGTTAAAATGCTCCCCTGACGAGATATTGGCGAAAAACTGTCTCGATCACGTGATATGACCGTATAAGGAAGTTAGTCTAATTTCTCGTTAGGGTTAGGGTTTTAGCATATGTTTTTGTTAAGGATTGAGTTAGAGTTAGGGTTGGGATCAGATTAGAGGGTTAGAGTTTCTAAAAGTCGTTCAGAACCAGCTAGAGAACGGGTTGAAAAAGTCACGTGACAGTCGAGTGTAGAGTGATAAATCATCATCCATTATGTGTATATAGTTTGAAATATTTATGTTCTTAAATTTGATCCTTCGAACAGCTGTTGAGCAATGAAACGCAAACATAATCTTAGCAAAATGAATATATTTCTTTTATCTTCAGCATTTAATCAGTCACATAATCTCAAATTATTTGTTATATAGTAGTGTTGAAAGTATTAAAACTCATTTATTGCTTATTTATTATTTATGTTGCTATATTATTAATTGAGGGGCTATTCTTCAGCATCCAAAAATATATCGATTGAAGTTTGTTTCAACTGTCGGGGGTCCGTTTAGAAACATTTCGAAGTTTGAGCGTAAAGTTATTTAGCACGATCGGATGCTAAATTGCCATCTTTTGTTAGAAATTCAGTGTCTGTTATTGATTTTAAAATTAATCTTGAAGAATTTAAAAAGACTAATAATTTAGTAGACACAGGCAACTTTTGGGAAGTGTCAAATATAGTTTTAGCAAAAATAGAGGGTGTAAATTATATCGAAAAGAAGAAGCAACAAGTCCAATATTTATATAAAAATCCGTGTGTTGCCAAGAGAAAGGGAATAAATATCTCATGAATTTGTTTTTATTTTATTTTTTAATTAAGGGTTTTTAACTTTTTAAACTTTTTAAATAACTTATTAATTTAATCTCTACTATATGTAAATAAATTATGACAATTATGTTAGTTATAGAATTTGTTTGTTTTGAATGACGAAGGCTGTGAGATGTTCACAGTTCTGATAATTAGGAAATCAGAAAGAATGTTTAAAAAACTAGTGATGATGTTTATGTCATTATTCTTAATCTAATCTAATCTAATCTAATCATCTCTTTCTTAAACTCTTGTAAATCATCTCTTTCTTGAATCATTCCAATTTAACTTTAAAACTTAGAACTTAACTGTCTCAAAGTTCTTAACGGCCAGAAGGAGTTTTTTCCAGTATGGTCTATCTCCGGGAGAACATAACTGTGGAGTGTCTTAATAAGAGTACCATTCTTACAACATATACTGTTTGACACCAGATGTAGTCTGGATTGACTCATTCCACACTTCACAATCTTCTAAACTGCTGATAACTTTGAAAGCTCCATCATCATGTAGGCCATGTTCAGCCACCATTGTCAAATTGAGGATTTCAGACAAATTAGGTGATTTCAGAGGAAACGCCGGCAAAATCTCTAAAAAATGTGTTTCTAGAGCAAAACGCACAGTTTTGGGCAGTATCGAGATAGCCCGACCACGGTCCGCGGACCACTGTCCGCGGACCACTGTCTACCAGATCATATTACTGTATAATAACAGTATCCCCTGAATCAAGCAGGGTTCACATCATCCCCTGAGTCAAGCAGGGTTCACATCATCGCACGCGAATTCCAATCAGCGGTGGTGTCAAGGCTTATTAAACGATTAAGCAACCTTACGAGATCAGTTCACATCATGCAATATATAAAGAATAACTATTATCAGACTGCATCAATCATTTCTATCATCAACTCCTTCTTGAACAACTACAACTATGGTCTCAGAGAAAACGAAACGGATGAACTCAGCCCTACCCTGCGACCCTATCTGCAAACCTATCTCACCTCTCGACAAGTGGACTCAAGCTGGTAAAACCCTCATCGTCTCCAGAGCCAACCCAAGCTTCTGATTGGAATTCGCGTGCGATGATGTGAACCCTGCTTGACTCAGGGGATGATGTGAACCCTGCTTGATTCAGGGGATACTGTTATTATACAGTAATATGATCTGGTAGACAGTGGTCCGCAGACAGTGGTCCGCGGACAGTGGTCCCGGACCGTGGTCGGGCTATCTCGATACTGCCCAGTTTTGCTATTACTGCAGTTAAGTTTTTCAAATTGTCCCACATTTAAACGAAGATTTGGCGCCGCACAGCAGATCAACGGGGCCTTCGTTAAGCCAATGTGGAAGAGTACCCACCTCATCAATCAGATGAGGAAACTACCTCTGCATCTACACACTCTCCAGCTCCAAGATGATCTTCCAATTTCCATGAGCCGCAAATGGGTTCCACAATTGAACACAATACTCTAGATGTGGTCTTATCAATGCATTGTAGATAATTATCATTACAAATTTCTTCCTTTAAATAATGATATTTCTTTAAATAATCCAACATATCATCTTGTTAGCTTTGGATACTAAAGCTTCAATGTGTTCATTCCAAGGAAAGGAAAATCAAATGATGGAGTAGTTCGCTGTTTATTAGTCTCATGATTGAAATACTGATAGTTGGATAATATCCGGTTGGAAGAGACTAGGACAAGTGAAACAGTTTTAATACTTTCAACACAACTATATAACAAATAATTTGAGCCTGAAGATGGCGTTGAAAACTTGCCTACATTCCTAACTTACTGTTTCATTTGTCCTTGTCTCTTCCAACCGGAGATTAACCAACTATCAGTATTCCAAAGAAAGGAGTAAAGGGTTATAGCCCCTAACTTTTTTCCTGTACAGATTTTTCATAATTCCAATCACAGAATATCTTTATCTTGGGTTATCATCAAAGTCTAAATGCATAATCGCCCAGGAACAAGACACCAGACATACTCTCATTTGTCTAGTAGAAATAAAATCTGTGCGTTATCCCTAAGCTCTCCAGCTTGACTTCAACATGTTCCATTGCTTTAGGGAGGTTATGGCAACAAAATTTGTTGGTGAGAACCTAAGCTGTGTCAAGTGGGTTCCTTTGAGTAATTCGGTATTGGACAGAGCAAGCCTTTGCGTAACAGGTTCGGATAGACATTTTGTATTTTGTTGGTTATTTCTTTAATTTTTTCTTTTAAATGGCACTGGCTAGTGGCTAAAGTTATAGCTATAGAGTTTTAATGTACAGTGCCCCTTGAATTTTGAAATTTATCATTATAATATTGTTTTGCAGCATCTGTGGTAATTCCAAAACCGAATCTAACGAATGTTTTATTTTCAGTTGGCAAAGGTTCCAGTAATAAATCAGTTAGTCTATGGGAGTGTTCAACAGAAAAGATAAAGCTTCTTGCCAAAACACCTCTCACAACTAATGGGACTGGTTTGGCATTTCTGTCTCACAAAACATTTGTAACAGGAGGGGATGATTCTGATAACCAACTTTTGCAGGTACTTTTCACAATTTTTGTGGTCATTTTTATTTTGTGCCACTTTTGCCAAGTGCCATATTACAATTTCCACGAGGCACAAGGATAAGAAAGTTAACTTTATTTATGGGACTCTTATCTAATAATATCGTGGTATATTATGACCTGTAATCAGGCGTTTAGTTAGTAAGTGGCAATATCATAATCTTTTTGAAAAATCCTAGCCTTAGCTACAGCCTGTGTAGTGATGAGCATTAAACACAAAGTATTTATTCAAGACGTTTTAGTCCCATTTAAAGATACGATTAATAGTCTTATATAATTGTGAATCAATTTACATATTTTAAGCTTACACAACTAACACAAGGTGGAATCTCACTTTTGACCTAATTTTTCTTCCTACAAATATTACCATAAAGTTCTTAATTATTATTATCAGTTGCAAGTTGATAATGCTTTGTATTTTAATACTATCAATATTTGATTTTTAAAAAGAAAAGAGGTTGAATCTTGGCAAATTAATAATAATAGCTCCTCAAGCTGGATCGCAATCCTCGACAGATTAAAATTGAGTCACTTTAGTCACTTACACAGATTACACACATTGTGTTGTAAAGTTATAAAACGTATATATTCTACTTACTGGGGGGGGGGGGGGGGGGGGGTCCAACCCGATGTCCGATATGAGGGTTGATGAGGCCAAAATCGGAATCGGAAAAATCGGAAAATTGAGAAATTTACAGAATCGATCTCTAAAACCTCTCAGAAGTGATATAATTCAACCAGAACCCCTACATATGCTATATTGTTATGAGAAAACGAACCAATTGGACATTCCAATAGTATGTTTTATGTGTTTTTCCACTGCAGGGGCTAGTATGCTCACTACTAGTTGAAGTTGTCATGTACTCCCAGACCCAGGTGCTTTGGCCTCTTGACGTGAGATCGATTGTTTCTGCTCATTAATTTTATCCCTGTTACTTGTTATTATGTATTAGTACAACACTAGGTACCGGGTTATATTTTGTCATTTTGTGGTCCCGTCTTTAAACATACCATAATATCACTAGTACACTGCACCTTAAATGTATAGTCAAGTACATTTGTATCGTAACACATGCTTGGCTGGGGGATCATGTTTTGTGTCCGTTCGGTACCCTATATGTTAAAAACGGACAAAAAGTAGGGCGGACAAAAACGGATAAAAACAGACAAAAACAGACAAAACATTTAGATGTCCTCTTCCTCCCTAGTCTTCCTCCTCCTTCTCATCAGTCCTCCTCATCCTCCTAAGTCTTCCTCCTCCTCCTGAGTCCTTCTCCTCCTGAGTCCTCTTCAGTCCTCTTCATGACTCCTCGTCCTCCTCCTCCTCCTCAGCCCCCTCCTCGTCCTCCTCTTTCTCCTCAGTCCCCTCCTCCTCCTCAGTCCTACTCCCAGTTCTCCTCCTCCTCCTCCTCCTCCTCCTCCCCATCAGCCCTCCTCAGTCCTCCTCATAGTCGTCCTCCTCCTCCTGACTCCTCCTCCTCATCCTCCTCCTCAGTCATCCTCCTCTTCTTCCTTAATCCCCCTCCTCTTTCTCCTCCTCATCAGTCCTCATCTTCTGTCCTCCTCATAATCGTCCTCGTCCTCATCCTCTTCCTCACCCTCCTCCTCAGTCCCCTCTGAGTCCTACTCATAGTCGTCCTCCTCCTCCTGACTCCTTCTCCTCCTAATCAGTCCTCCTGCTCAGTCGACTCCTCCTCCTCCTCCTCCTCCTAATCAGTCCTCCTGCTCAGTCGTTCTCCTCCTCCTCCTCGTCCTTAGTCCTCGTCCTCGTCAGTCTTCCTCCTCAGTCCTCCTCATCATCCTCCTCCGCCTCCTCAGTCTCCTCCTCCTCATCCTCCTCCTCAGTCCTCCTCCTCATCATCCTAATCCTAAGTCCTCCTCCTTCTCCTCCTCATCAGTCCTCATCCTCAGTCCTCCACTAGTCGTCCTCGTCCTCGTCATTAGTCCTCCTCCTTCTCCTCTTCCTCCTCCTGAGTCCTCCTCCTCTTCCTCCTCCTGAGTCCTCCTTTGGAGTCCTCTTTCTCCTCCTCATCATCAGTCCTCCTCCTCCTCTTCAGTTCTCCTCCTGAGTCCTCCTCCTCATCCTCCTCCACCTCCTGAGTCCTCCTCCTGAGTCATCGCCTCCTCCTCCTCCTCCTCCTTCTCCTCATTATCCTCCTCCTCCGCAGTCCTCCTCCTCCTTCTCCTCCTCCTTCTCCTCTTCCTTCTCATCTTAATCAATCCTCTTCCTTAGCCCTCGTTATCATCCTCCTAGTCCTCATCCTTAGTCCTCGTCCTCATCCTCCTCAGTCTTCCTCCTCAGTCCTCCTCCTCCTTCTCCTCATCAGTCCTCCTCCTCCTCAGCCTCATCCTCCTCATCCTCGACTCCTCCTTAGTCCTCCTCAGTCCGCAGTCCTCTTCCTACTCGTCAGTCCTCCTCAGCCTCCTCCTCCTCATCCTCCTCCTTAGTCCTCCTCAGTCCCCAGTCCTCTTCCTACTCGTCAGTCCTCCTCCTCCTCCTCCTCCTCAGTCCTCCTCATCCTCATCCTCCTCCTCAGTCCTTCTCCTCCTCGTCAGTCCTCCTCCTCCCTCTCCTTCTCCTCCTTCTCCTCCTACTCCTAAGTCCTCCTCCTTCTCCTCCTTCTACTCCTAAGTCATCCTCCTCCTCAGTCCTCCTCATCCTCAGTCCTCCTCCTCATCATCCTCCTTCTCCTCCCCCAGTCCTCCTCCTTCTCCTCCCCCAGTCCTCCTCTTCCTCAGTCCTCCCCCAGTCCTCTTTCTCCTCATCCTCAGTCCTCCTCCTCAGTCCTCCTCCTCCTCCTCCTTTTTCTTCTTATCAGTCCTCCTCCTCAGTCCTCCTCCTCGTCCTCGCTCTCATCCTCCTCCTCAGTCCTCCTCGTCCTTAGTCCTCGCGTCCTCTTAATCCTCCTCCTCCTCCTCCCCGTCCTCAGTCCTCCTTCTCCTCCTCATCAGTCCTCCTCCTCCTCTTCAGTCCTCCTGAGTCCTCCTCCTCATCCTCCTCCACCTCCTGAGTCCTCCTCCTGAGTCATCCTCATCCTCCTCCTGATCATTCTCATCCTTATCCTCCTCCTCCTGAGTCCTCCTCATCATCCTCCTCATTCTCCTCCTTATCCTCCCCCTTATCCTCCTCCTCCTGAGTCCTCCTCCTCATCCTCCTCCTCCTCCTCTTCCTTCTCCTCCTAATCAGTCATCCTCCTCAGTCCTCCTTCTCCTTCTCCTCCTCCTACTCCTCAGTCCTCCTCCTCCTCCTCCTTCTCCTCCTTTTCCTCCTTCTCCTCCTACTCTTAAGTCTTCCTCCTCCTTAGTCCTCCCTCAGTCCTCCTCCTCATCAGTCCTCCCCCAGTCCTCCTTCTCCTCCACCTCATCCTCAGTCCTCCTCCACCTCATCCTCAGTCCTCCTCCTCATCATCCTCCTCAGTCCTCCCATAGTCCTCCTCCTCCTCAGTCTTCCTCAAGTCCTCCTCTTCCTCAGTCCTCCCCCTGTCCTCCTTCTCCTCATCCTTAGTCCTCCTCCTCAGTCCTCCTCCTCCTCCTTTTTCTTCTTATCAGTCCTCCTCCTCAGTCCTCGTCCTCGTCCTCGTTCTCGTCCTCCTCCTCAGTCCTCCTCGTCCTTAGTCCTCGCGTCCTCTTAGTCCTCCTCCTCCTCCCCGTCCTCAGTCCTCCTTCTCCTCCTCCTGAGTCCTCCTCCTCTGGAGTCCTCCTCCTCCCCGTCCTCAGTCCTTCTCCTCCATGTCGTCTTCCTCCTCCTCCTCCTCCTCACCAATCCTGCTCCTCTTCCTCAGTCCTCCCTCTCCTCTTCAGTCCTCCTCCTCCTCAGTCCTCCTCGGTCCTTCTCCTCCTCCCCAGTCTTCCCCAGTCATCCTCTTTCTCCTCAGTCTTCCTCCTTCTCCTCCTCTTCCTCAGTTCTCCTCCTCATCCTCCTCCTCATTCTCCTCTTCCTTCTCCTCCTAATCAGTCCTCCTCCTCAGTCGTCCTCCTGCTCGTCGTTAGTCATCGTCCATATCGTCCTAGTCCTCGTCCTGGTCCTCCTCAGTCTTCCTCCTCTGTCCTCCTTCTCCTCAGTCCTCCTCCTCCTTCACTTTCTTATCAGTCCTCCTCCTCAGTCCTCGCTCTCGTCCTCGTCCTCAGTCCTCCTCGTCCTTAGCCCTCGCGTCCTCTTAGTCCTCCTCCTCCCCGTCCTCAGTCCTCCTCTTCCTCACCAATCCCTCTCCTCTTCAGTCCTCCTCCTCCTCAGTCCTCCTCCTCCTCCTCAGTCCTCCTCGGTCCTTCTCCTCCTCGTCAGTCCTCCCCAGTCCTCCTCCTCCTCAGTTTTCCTCCTTCTCCTCCTCCTCCTCAGTCCTCCTCTTCTTCAGTCCTCATCCTCCTCCTCATCAGTTTACACAATTTATTGTTACTAAAATGTTTTTAAACGCATGTGAGTCTGTAACATATTGACATGTTACTGTTACTGACTCAAAATGTGCTGTAGAATTTTGTTTAACATAGTTTTACTCTCCAGTACTATGGAAAAGTTGTTACATGATAAATAAAGATTTTGATAAATAAAGTGATTTTCATCCCTTTTAATGTTATTAAAAATTGTGTAAACTATTCTTTGTATCTAAGAGATAACTGTTTCTGCAGATAGCCTGTTACAAATTGTGGAGACAATTTAAATCAAAAGTTACTAAAGCGTTCGCTATTTGTTACGATTGTTATTACCAACCGTACCTCTTTCAATTGTGGACCGGGGTGGATGTTTCTGTCAAACAAGAGTTGATACGTGTGTTTTTTTTTCGGACGAAACGATTCTTGATTGGAACAAGAAACTATTTTGGGGTTCTGGGACCACCACCAATCGATTTCTTGTCATATTTAAGAACAGAAATACCTACCTATATCGCCTAGAAACCTCAGAGGGAAGATTTAAATTTTCCCGATTTTTCCGATATGAGGGTTGCTGAGGCCAAAATCGGGATCGGAATGATCGGAAATGATCGGGTTGGACCCCCCCCACTTACTGCGTTGTCTTCCACAACAATCGTGTAAGAAAACGTTATAAAAGTTACGATGTTAAATCATTGTTGAACCTGAAAGCTGCAAATGTGGTGAATTGTTTAGCTTAATTGCAGTGTTTTGGTGTCTCCGAATTTGCCACACATAGAAAAGATTTGGACACTTTGCAGAATGGCACTATTTGCAAACTATCACCACATCTACATGTTGCCTCTGACACAAGATCGTTATAATAACAAAAATTAGTATAAGTAACTACTACTCATTACAAACACATTCAACACCGTCATTTTTCCACCGAGTCAAATACTTGTACTTCATTGAAGGACAAAGCACTGGGTCCGCCTGCCTCCTACACTCGAATGTTTTATCAAGCCAATGAAGCAATTTAAGATAATGATAGAACCATTTAATGAAAAATAAGTTCGTTGAGTCTGTTACATTCTGAAGAACATTATCATCATGTTTTGGGATAAGAGCTCCGGTGATATTGTGCTTTTGAACAACACGAGAGATTAACCATCCACTGAGGCCATCTTCAAATGGTATGGGCACATCTGTCTCGTTATCATTGAGTTCTGTTATCTTCTGAACGAGATCACGTGATATGACATAGCCTCCTCCTTTACAGTAATCAAATGTTTGATTGTACGGAGTTGACTTCAATTTGATACCACATTTGCCAGTGTAAAGGTTCTGTCTTGGTGCGAGGTTGAGTCCAGTAACCAGGTTTGGTAAATCGATCATGGTATCGTGATCGGTCTTGATAAAGTATTTAAAGTCAAACATTTCTACACTTTTTCTCAGTGCCCAAAGTAGTTTTTCGTTCAGAGCCACTGTGCTTTCCATTGTTTCAACGAGATAAAGATCGTCGTGCATGGAATTTTCGTGTAAGAGATCATCGGAATATCCATTTTCATTGGTTTTTCCTACAACAAACATCACTTTGAATCTCAAACACTCTTTTGGAACTCCCTCAAATTCATTCCCATTCCACAGTGATATATTCAGTCCTTTGGTTCGCACATGTTCCCTCCATTTTCCAGCTTCAGGCTTTGACGGTATGAAAATAACCATGAATATTTTTTCTAACTGTTTCCCTCTAACGTACTCAAACATGACATCATGCTTCAGACTGGTTTTGAGGGTGATAATAATTGTCTCTTGTGGAATAGTTGGCAAGATGTCTGTGTAAAAGTAGAGCAAAACAACAAAAGCTATGGAACAAGCAAGATATCGTGCTCTAAAACATCTCATTTGAAATTAATCTTTAGTCAGAGAGCAATGGAAATGAAACAGCGGTGCAACAAATTAGATAGACGAACTAGATAGACACGTTACCCACATATTGAACACTCGCTTATGGTCAACACTCATCATGGAAACTTGACCACATGCAAATACACCAACCATGATCTTATGAAGTATGGACTATGGATGAATTGTGTATAGGCAAAATTTGGATGAGGTGGAATGAGGCTGGAGCCCCCCCCCCCCCTGTATATGCAGTATGTACATATACACAACACTGTAGAACATGTGATGTCGAGAACTTTAGTCTGTACAATGTGAACTATGGTGGTCCTGGGGAGACCTATAAACCACTAAATTGCAGATTCGATGAAAGCTTTTGTAGTGCAGGTAATCCACCAGCAGAGTCTAAGGCAACCCATTAGCTTAGAACTACAGAAAGAAACATCCTAGACTCCACGATCCTCAAAACATTAAGCTTTATATCATCGTGAAACCACGAAGCAGTACGAAGTGGTTACTAACTCTGCAAGTATGGACTGTGCAGAGAAACCTAAAGATCAGAATAAAAAAGGGGAGTAATTTAATATCTCGACCATTGTTATTTATGAGCTCATCACCATTGTTATTTATGAGCTCATCACAACAGGTTTGGAACGTTCTAGGAGACGAGTTAGAGACGACAACAACGCTAAAAACGGGGAACAAACTTACCACACACGTGTCATGTACGGAGAAATTAATCGCATCCGTTGGGGAGGAGGGTTTCCTTCAGGTGAAACATCTTTCTTTACCCTTAAACATACTCAGATACTCCTGAATTGTATTTCACCGCAACATTTGTCTCCTGATACAGGGGATACAAAAGATAGCTTTACGAAACTTTGTTGAAATTTCAGGAAGTATTCTCTGCAGTTTTTAGTTGTTACAACCGTACTGGCTTGTATCTATTTTCTCTTTGACATATCTAAAGACAACTTATAAAATATCTAAAATACCCAAACCTTATCAGGTGCACATTCCGGCCCAGTCCCGGCCAGTGTACTCCACGAAGTGTGAAATGTGCCTGAACACCTCCACCTTCTACTTGTCTCACAGTGTGTTGGTGGGTACCTCTGCTGGACAGGTACACTGTTATGATACCCGACAACAGGGTGAGATGCCCGCTTCCACCATGTCCAGCGAACTGGTGAGCAAATCATGGCTGTTATTTTGATAAATCTGTGAAAATTATGTGCTGTGTGGATTAAAGTGAATTTGGATCTCAGACATTTCTGTTAAAGGATACTTTTGTAAGCTGTCTGCACCATGTTTGTTATGAATCTGATTTAGTTACTCGACTACTTCATTACTCAACTGTAGTAAAATCTAACGTTATGACAGGTATCAATACTGGGAATAGCAGTGCACACAACGCAACCCTTTATAATAGCTAACTCTAGATCTGATGGTAGTCTACTGATATGGGACATGAGGAATAACAGATATCCTCTGGCTACTTTTGCAGGTGCAGTTATAGTGCAGTTATAGTGCGGTTATAGTGCAGTTATAGTGAAGTTGTAGTGTAGTTATAGTGAGGTTATAGTGTAGTTATAGTGCAGTTGTAGTGAAGTTGTAGTGCAGTTATAGTGCAACTTAGAGAGACAAATGTTAAGGTGGAAATAGTTTTCCATGTGATTCTTTTGTCGTGTTTTATTTTTACCAATCCGATATTCAATAATTGATGGGCTGTACTCATCAGTAAAGATCATATTTCGTGGCTGTAATTGGAGACTTAATGAGACAAAAACCAGTCAGCTCCAATATCAGTTACATCAACGTTGCTTAGTGGAAGTGAACTAACACGTAAAACTACTTGTTGACTAACCTAATTAACTCACTAATTACTCTCTAATAACTCTTTAATTACAATCAAAACAGGACACGCCAGTGCTATATGGGAAGTGCAGTTTGAAAAGGAGAAGTCAGACAACTTGTACACATGCTCAGAGGATGGTCAGTTGTTAATGTGGAACGGAGCGGCTCTCAGTGGTTTGTTATCTTATTTTACTTTGCGTTAATTGATGAAATAATTTAAGTTAGAAATATCGTCTCAGTATTAGATATCACGTTTAAGTAAATTATATGTTATTTCTAATTTATTACTAAATCGCGTGGCAGGATTATTGGCAGTTTAAAATATTTATTGCTCGTGTCAATTGGAGCAGCTGATCAAAGTATGATTCATGACCGTACAAATGGCCACTTTTTACACTGCCAGTTTAGGAAGACTACATAAAGCTTTTGTGTCGCCGGTTGAGATTGCAATATTATTTTTTGTCTTAATAGTCAATTTACTACTATAATCTGACATTTGAAATCTCGAACATGCTTTTTTATGCCAGATCACCGGTCCCATATCTGTGATAACTTAAACGTTTTGATTGTGCCATCACTTATCGTTCCATTGAGTGTTGTCCAAAGTGGTTAGCTCTTTCATTGAGAATTAATGTCGGAGATTGTTTGTAGAATATTACCCAACTTAAGGCCTAAAATCAATGAAGTTTGACCGTATAACAGAACTGGTTAGAAATGTTTAGAATTTGCAACCCATCTACACAATAATCCACCAGGAGTTGGAGGATTGCTGGGGGGAGGCGGGAAAGTGTCGCCCTGGTTAACTCCTGAGATATCTCACCAGAAGATGGATGTGTTCAACTTGTTAGGCAGCGATAATAAACTCAGTATCAATAGTTTTGATGTACTGCAAGGAAAAGTTGTGTGTGGTGGAGCCAGACAGACTCTCTTTTGCACGGACAGTTGTGATGAGTGACTTTAAATTTTGTTTTTAATCTTAAGTTTTAGGGATGGATTTGGTAGGAGCAGGTTTTTATATTTGTTTTGACTGGGAGCCGACGTTTCTTGTACCTATGTTTAGGGCACGAGACATCCTGCAGAAACGTTAAGTGAGATGCAACGTGCAATAAAATACAAGGCCAAAAAATGCGCGCGAAATTATGAAATTTTGTACTAAAATGGAACACGCATCAATATGTTTATATTTATTTGTGCGCAGCACGCCACTATTTATTGCAATATTTGTAGAAAATGTGCTGTCACATTCCTTTCACTCTACTAGATTTGACGTACTACCGATACCTGCAGCCTGGAGCTGACTTTATTATAATAAAGATATAATGCATCTAAATTGATAAATTTTCATTTATTTCGTATGAAAAACCTTTCTTTTACTGTGAAATTTTCTGTTCACGCTCAAATTAGAAATTTGACCTCTAATAATTATGATTGTTCTTAGGAAACAAGTAAATTATTGATGATTAATATAGGTTAGAGGCTTTAGCTTGCTACTTTTATTCAAACTGGTGACTCAATAAATCGACTTTAATTCACACTAAAAATATCTCCTAGCTAATGTCTGAAGTCCTGAATGATTTGCTGGAAGGGAAAGTAACAAGTAATGAAGTAGTTAACTGGATTACTGGCTCCGTGAGTATTTCAACCTTGTAACTTTAAATCCCATGACCCATCTAAAATACATCGTCAACTAACTATGTTCAATTCAAACAAATCATCAAATATATTAAACTAATTATAGCACTTTTAGACTAATACACAAACATTGATCTTAATACTTGACCGTAGGGTACAATACGATACAAATGCAGCAAGGACGCCTTTATCTGCCACTTTTTGGCTTGGTTACATAGTCACGTGACTCACGCAGTACAGAGTGAACCGTCACATCACCACGGTAATAACCATGGTTACTATAGCAACAAGTCCAGGAACACTCCTAATAGAAAGAGAACGGATAAGAGAAGGAGTAATGGTGCTCATTACAGGTTTATTTTAAACATTAGAGTTTTTATACGACAAAACAAACTATTTATAGAACAATTTTTTAGACCGAGATTGCTTGAACCTTAAATTCTAATAAGACACTTATTATATATATTATTTTTTGAGTAAACATTGGCTGGTACTTCGGGCCGGTCCCCAACAAAAAAAAAAAAAGAAGTTTTACATTTCCCTCAGTCCGGGAAATACATCGCACAAAGGTTCGCGGACTCCTAAAAGTGGGAGCAAGACCCCCCAGACTCCCTTCAAGGACTCTCTGACTTCAATGACCGACTACCCTCCTTTGAGTAGCTCCACTCCTGTCGAGTTAGAAATGTTTCTTTGTAAATTTATAGTGTTTATGTTTTCACACTTCCTTGGACAGTGTCCGGCTATTGCCCAAATTAGAGGTCAATATTTCCAGGACTACTACCTCTCTGTCAATGACATATTCGACAACCAACACATCACCACAATTGTCAATTTCGCAAACCGCACCAAACGCTTAATTGTGCCGGAGGAGCTGGATCAGACCGGGGTGACTTAAAGTATTATTTCATATGCTGTCTCGTCTCGTTTTACTTTTCCAAACCCATCTGGCATTTAAGGGGGGGGGGGGGGGGGGGGGGGGGCGACAATGGATATTTTTTTGTGAAACTTGATTTCGAGATAGCAGTTGACCAACAAACTAGGACCAGTGACCGAACTTTTGAGGGGTCCCGGACCCCAACCGCCAAACGGTGCCCGCGGGGCAGCCACGCCCATATTTGGTCCAAATTAGGCCCAATTTAGCCAAATACCCTGAACATGCCCAAAACCCAGATTTTAGGTGCTCTACTTGTAGTTAGTGGTCTCTTGAACTCGTATATGAAATTTCATCAAGATTGAACAAAAAATGACTGAGTTATGAGCCAAAAATCATAGGCCCATATTTGGGCATATGCACCAAATTTGGTAGATTTCGTCCCATAAATTGGTCAAATATCAATATTTTTGAATGAAACTTACTTTATATGAAAGGTAAGCCTAAACTACATATTCTCTAGTTTATATCTGTTTAAATGTGGATACTAAGGCGAAAAAACCACAAAAAATGAACTAAATTGCCCGTATCTTGGTTCGCGATATTCGCGGAATTGATCTCATTAAAATTGTAACAACTCAATCAGTTTTCAAAATTTTTCCATGAAATTCTTGGAATCGACTCGAAATTGCATTTCCACCTTATTTTGAGAACAGATTTTTGATTTAGGCCTCAAAAAAAATTTGGCGGCCAAATTCTGAATTTTTCCGGGAAAATTTTGTGGTTTTTTCGCCTTAGTATCCACATTTAAACAGATATAAAGCTATAACTTATAGAGAATATGTAGTTTAGGCTTACCTTTCATATAAAGTAAGTTTCATTCAAAAATTTGATATTTGACCAATTTATGGGACGAAATCTACCAAATTTGGTGCGTATGACCAAATATGGGCATATGGTTTTTGGCTCATAACTCAGTCATTTTTTGTCCAATCTTGATGAAATTTAATATACGAGTTCAAGAGACCACTAGCTACAAGTAAAGCACCTAAAATCTGGGTTTTGGGCATGTTCAGGGTATTTGGCTAAATTGGGCCTAATTTGGACCAAATATGGGCGTGGCTGCCCCGCGGGCACCGTTTGGCGGTTGGGGTCCGGGACCCCTCAAAAGTTCGGTCACTGGTCCTAGTTTGTTGGTCAACTGCTATCTCGAAATCAAGTTTCACAAAAAAATATCCATTGTCCCCCCCCCCCCCCTTAAGCGTATCATTTTGACTCATATAATAACATCTTACACCATCCTCCACCAATCACTCTGATTTCACCGGCAACCTTCCCCAAGGTTGCCACACCCCAGAGGTAGGCAGAGCATCTCAATGCTATCCTCTCGTGGGCTATCTTGGCCTAGCCTCTCATTTAAAAAAAAAGTGTTTATGTTTCATGGCCCCTCTGATTCCCTGAGCTGGCAGTTGTATCAGTTACTCACCTTTTGGGCGGGATACAAGCACATTATTGTATTAATTCTTTTCAAAAAAAGTTACAACGAATTCTACATGTAGTGCATCATGGGTTTGGACAGGATATGCCCGTTTAAAATATTTCCATCAAATATTTCCATCACGTTATTCTCAATAAATGTAATAGATTTGTAGTGTTGTAATTAGTCATTTCATGTGATTAATGTAAATAGTGCCTTAACCGGATTTTCACATCTCAGCCCTGAAACACTTCAATTTCAGAGACACAGTTTCTCGTATCACTAACGAAGAAGAAGTTTTAATCGTGAAGCGGAAGGTGGATTTCTCTCGGTCCTTCACGTCGAGTAATAGGTCACAAGGGAGAGATGAAAGTGCCTGTAGCCGTGGTGGTACCCCTGGGTCTCCTCCTGTCGTTAGGAGAGTTGCTCTCACTCCTGCTCCTTCCAAACAGCAGGTTAGAGAAGTTACATTTATAGATGGATATCATTCGGCAGTATCCAAGAAGCCGGACCCAGTCCGTGGACTATGAAATTATGGCATAAATAGATCTAAAATTATATGTGTTTTGCTTTTTCACTTTTTAGTGTGATGCATTTGTATCATTCTTTATTCCTCAGATGACACAGTTAACACAGCACGTCAAGGAAACAACCCCCTTCAGCCAGGATTCTGTTTCAACTCCCAACGGTGACGTCACCACATCATTGGTCATGAGTTTTGATAACCCTTCCAACATTGATCAAGATCGTGGGCAAAATGTGGACTTCCAGATGAACATTACCCCGACTAAGAAACCTGTGAAGAAACCGTCTGTGAACGGGGACATTATAGATAACAAGTCTGTTTTTGGAAGTACCTCCATCTTTGAGAATATTTCTGGGGTTGAACTAACGAAGAGTGGTGATTCAGAAAGTTTTATGCCGGATAAAGACTCTGATTCATCAGCGCTTTCTATATCACAAGTAAACAAAAAACAAATTGAAAAGGATGCTGATAATAAACTTGTATCAACAAAATCAGTTAATCCGCCCTCACGCAAAAAGAAAATAAAGCGTGTCCCACTGATGACAATTTCAAACCATGCCAAACCTAACTGGGCAGAAAAGTCCGAATTTCCACCCGGAAAAAGTTCTTCGACGGAGAAACTAGATGTTAAAGACTTAGACTCTAGGTTTGGCGACCGTTTAAAAGGTGGCTCAAACGAAATTTATTCAAACTCGTCTGGTTTTATCGAAGAGTCTTATAATAAATGTTCACGTGATTCTTTTAAAGAACTTTCGATTCCCTCAAGTGACTCTAATGCAAATGGCTTCGGGAGTAAGGGAGGCAATGCACCTTTGATCGAGACTAAGCGACTGACTCCACAGAAATGCACTCTCACCAGCGGGACAAAGAATTGCGGTGTTGAATCTAATCCTTTTCTCCAATCACAAACTGTTGAGAATGGAGATTCTTCATTTGATATTTCTACCTCTGAGAAACTTTCGTGTTCGGATAACACAATACCAATAAGAAGAGTATCGTTGCAACCGGTCAAGTCAAAGGATTCCCAGATCCAGGAGATTGGTTTTACAACTAGTTTCACCACCACCAATACAAGCTGTCCCTCTACTTGCTTTGGATCAACTGTGACTGCCGGCAAAGTAAGCTCAGTTGGACCTGGTAGAAGAGTGACACTTACTCCCGCAAAATCTTCGGACAATTCTCTGACCCAGAATAGTGGTCTAGCCACCGATACAAACTGTCCTGCTCCTTGCTTTGGAGCTAACCCAGTTTCAACTGCGAATATCAGCAAAGGAAACTCTGGGCTTCCTGTTAGAAGAGTAACGCTAACTCCCTCCAAAACTTTAGACAATTCTCTGATTCAGAATAGTGGTTTGGCCACGAGTTTAACCAATACCAATACAAACTGTCCTGCTCCTTGCTTTGGAGTGAACCCTGTTTCAACTGCGAATATCAGCAAATTCAAAGGAGGTTCAGTTTTACCTATTAGAAGAGTCGTGCTGACTCCCTCGAAAACTTCTGCTACTGAACAAAATGTCGTAATATTTAGTAATAGACCTTCGGCAAATACTTCCTCGACAATAGTTCAACCGGATGGTTATTCAGAGAGGCCTATAGAAAACTCTGTGAAGTTGGATAAATCAGAGAACGAACTCTCAGAAGCTAAGCGAAAGGAGAGGACCCTTGTTTACAACCTTGCTGAGGTATCTACCATCCTATATACTAGTGTTTAGTGACGCAATAGTGACGTATTTAGTGACGTATTTAGTGACGTATTTAATGACGTATTTAGTGACGTAATAATATACCTCCAATACGCAATCTGCTCTTTATCTCTCGGTATGATAGAATTCATAGTTGTTTCAGTGAGCTGGGTGCCTTTCTTCCTTGATATAACTTTCATGTCAAATTAACTATTAATCAAACGGAAGTTAATAATAATATCCTCAGATATACACGGTTATACTAAATGAGGTATTAATCAGTAATATGGCTACAGAACTACAGCTACTTCTATCAATGATAAAGTCCCCCTCTACTAAGGCTGTATCTTACATAACATCTCATCGAATATATTTCATCTCTACTGTACTCAAGGGTTTGTAAATAACTTCCTCGATTGATTTTTTGTTTGGTTATGTGAGCCTTTTTCAATTCGCGTAATCCTTAAATTTATATATGAAAAAATGTTTCCTTGTGTTTGACTTTAAAAACTCCACAGGTCTAGATGTCTGGACAAGACATCTGTCTCCTGCTTTGCTTGTGGAACTGGAGAAACATGTGAATATCTCTGTTACTAGAGTGAATCCTCCTCTCCCTCTTTTTGCTTATGGTTCGTTTAATTCTTGATATTATACCTACATGTATTGTATGGTCTCTGCTTCTTTTTAGTTTAGTGTGGTTTAAAATAAAAGATGTTTTAATTTTGTCTTGGTCTTATATTAATATTACGTTATACTCTTGTTCATTTTTACACTTTTGCTCACATCACTCACAGTCAGCCGCTCTGACATGGTTAACCACCTTCCTTGTGTTGTTGGTTAATCATATGAGCGGGATATAAACACCTCATTTCATTTCATTTCATTTCATATCATTACACGTTACCATGGTAACTGTTGGATAATGGATATTGGATAATAATGGGCATTAACAATTAGAAATAAATCGTTACCATCAGCTTGAACTACTCTTGAACTAATATTATGCACACTAAATAATGTCTTTACTGTTGGTTTGATAAACTGTAACCCGTTTTTTGTTCTCAGATATTTCGATAGCGAGTGTACCATTCCAAATAGATGAGGACACACGGCCACAGTTCCCTAACGACAGAGTATTTCACGTTTTCAAACGAATTAGGTTAGTTAAATAAAATTTTAATTAACTATAAACATTTTTTTTGAACATTTAAAATATAATTTGAAACATTACAGTAACGTTAAATTTCAAATCTCAAACAGAAAAAGTATATTACAAAGTTTTGTGTTTTGATCATATGATCGTGGATGTATAGTGATTGATTGCATAATTTTGAATTTGATTGATGGTGATTGTGAGTGAGTAGTTAGGGCAAGAATTGCTGTTTATGGGTCAATCTGTGAACAAATTCGTAACAAAGGTTTGTCTACAGGAATGTGTTGTCCATAGTCCCAGGAACCACAAAAAAAAACCGTCCAGCTGAAACTTTTGGGCAAAAATTTTTATAGTCATTTTTCTCCAGGAACCCATACGCCCCACCCCTAATATTGGTTATTCGGCTCCCGAAGGTCTTGAGATCTCCATAGGGGGTGCAAAATGACCGCAATGGCCACATTATGAAAAAAAAAATAGTTTCAGAACGATTGGAGCTTTATTTTTCGAAATAAATGGAATTTTTCGAATTTTTTTCTCAATTTTATTGAAATTTCGGAAAAAAAACACCAAATTATTTTTAACGCTTATTTCAAATCTATTTAAAAACTTATCTACAAATAACAAATACAGTTAATCTAAAATGTGTATTCTCAGTAAGTACCATGACAATTATTAATACACAGTTAATATTAATCAAAATTCGCTTGTTCTTCAGGTTCATCATGTCTAATGTTTGTGCAGTTCATACCATGGCATCGTCCACAAGCTGGCAAACAATTGAAGCCATATTTCCTACATGAACATCTGAAAGTCAAACAGGCCTGTTCCACATCGACAGAACAGTTACAACATATAAGGTTCATATGAGGAGGATAACTGAGGAGGAGGAGAAGGACTGAGGAGGAGAAGAGGGATCCAGGAGGAGAACCCAGGAAGAGGAGGAGGAGGACTGAGGAGAAGGACTAAAGAGAAGGAGGACTGATGAGAAGGATGAGGAAGAGGGTGACTGGGAGAAGGACTGAGAAGGACTGAGGAGGAGAATGCGGACTGAGGAGGAGGAACCAGGAAAAGGAGGAGGAGGAGGACTGAAGAGGAGGACTGAGAAGGCGAAGGAGGACTGAGGAGGAGGGTGACTGGGGGAGGACTGAGGAATATGAGGAAGACTGAGGAGGAGGAGGAAGAGGAGAAGGACTGAGGAGGAGAAGGACTGAGGAGGAGAAGGACTGAGGAGGAGAAGCAGGAGGAGGAGGACCCAGGAGGATGAGGACCCAGGAGGAGGACCCAGGAAAAGGCCCCAGGAGGAGGAGAAGGAGGACTGGGGAGAAGGAGGACTGTTGAGGACGAGGAGGAGTAAAAGAAGGACTGAGGAGGGGAGGAGGAAGAGGACTGAGGAGGATCAGGAAGACCCAGGAGGAGGAGGACCCAGGAGGAGGACCCAGGAGGAGGAGGAGGAGGACTGAGGAGGATGACTGAGGAGGAGGAGGACTGAAGAGGAGGAGGAGGACTGATAAGGAGGAGGACTGAGGAGGAGGAGGACTGAGGAGGAGGAGGAGGACTGAGAAGGAGGAGGACTGAGGAGGAGGAGGACTGAGGAGGAGGAGGAGGAGGCTGCACGACGGCCAGGCCCCCTCACGGAGATCAGATCATGTCACCAATTAGTGACGTATAATTAGTGATGTGATCCGTCAGTAGAATTTAACTGACCTAGATTTTCTGGAAACTACGTTTGTTCATATTTCATGCTACCCTGATCATTATGAGCTTCTGAAGTCCGTATATACATTCGGAAGGCTGTGGATGTGATTGGTTCCATATACTAACCTTATCGGACCTTATTTGGACGGTCATTACTTAAACGGACATAATTATGAACAGACATTAATATGAACGCTAGAAGGCAATCAAAACCATCAAAAATCCGAATTTTTTTCATCTTTTTTAAAACTTTTTTAATTTTAGCAAATAATTTTTTCCCTGCTCTTGCCGAAGGCAAAAAGATCGTAGGGAATAAGTAATCGGGTTTGGATATATGAGCTATCCCGATGGACCTGCGATGATGACAAAAGTCTGCTCCTTCGCAATATAGACCACTCCCCTATAATTAAGTGTATAGGGAGCGTCTGTTATGCTGCGCGCGACGCTCGGCATGTGTTAGTTAATTGCAGTATCCAACGCGAATTTCAACTGTCAAACGATGCCGTTCAAATTAAATTAGCCCAAAATTTGTGCGCGGCGTACTATATATTCGAGTACATGCAATCCTGCACGCGCGCAATGACAAATTACGATGAAAATATTGCAACTTTTTAACAACAAAATAATCCAATATCTAATTTTTATTAATCGATAAAATTAACTTTTCGTTGCAAACATTAACGGTTTAAGCAGGGAAAATTAATCGTGCGTGGTGTAACCGCGGCGAAATTCTTGTTAAACCCATTTTTCATACAGTAAGCAAGAAACATGTTAAAATATGAAAATCGCGATTTGTCGCTGCAAACGTCAAAAATCGCGATTTGTCGCGGAGATTGGGAAAAATCGCGACTCCGCACGTGCCGCGATTTCCTTTTGTCCTTGAATTATATACCTAAGAACACTTGATCGGCTCACTCCCGTTGCATGCCTTTGGCACGTACGTCTCACATCCCTAGATACGAGAACCCCCCTTTATTAAGAGCTCCCGTCCCTTATGTAATCTAAAAGATCATGTTTACTTCTTAATGCACATCCATGATGTACAGAGTTGATATGTGAATTCTACACTGTATCTAGCCCATTTCTAGGTCAGTTAAATTCTACTGATGGATTATATCACTAATTATACGTTACTAATTGGTGATATGATCTGATCTCCGTGGGACCCCTAATAATGAGGGGGCCTGGTCGTCGGCCTCCCGAGGAGGAGGAGGAGGAGGAGGAGGAGGAGGAGGAGGAGGAGGAGTGAATAGGAGGAGGAGGGGGACTGGGCAGGACTGAGGAGGAGGAGGACTGAGGAAAAGGATGAGGAGGAGGACTGAGAAGGAGGACTGAGCTGAGGAGGAGGACTGAGGACTAAGGAGGAAGAGGAGGAGGATGAAGAGGAGGTGGACCTAAGAGGAGGAGGTCCCAGGAGGAGGACCCAGGAGGAGGACTGAGGAGGAGGAGGAGGATGACTGAGGAGGAGGAGGAGGAGGAGGAGGAGGAGGACTGAGGAGTACTGAGGAGGATCGCTGAGGAGGATCGCTGAGGAGGATGGCTGAGGAGGATGGCTGAGGAGGATGACTGAGGAGGATGACTGAGAGGGAGGAGGAGGAGGACTGAGGAGGAGGAGGAGAAAGAGGACCCAGGAGGAGGACTGAGGAGGATGGCTGAGGAGGATGACTGAGAGGGAGGGGGAGGAGGAGGAGGAGGACTCAGGAGGAGGACTCAGGAGGACTGAGAAGGAGGAGGACTGAGGAGAACTGAGGAGGATGAGGAGGAGGACTGAATAGAAGGAGGAGGAGGGGGACTGGGGGGAGGACTGAGGAGGAGGACTAAAGAGGACTGAGGAGAAGGATGAGGAGGAGGACTGAGGAGGAGGACTGAGGAGAAGGACTGAGGACTGAGGAGGAACAGGAGGAGGATGAAGAGGAGGAGGATGAAGAGGAGGAGGATGAAGAGGAGAAGGAGGACTCAGGAGGAGGACCCAGGAGGAGGACTCAGGAGGAGGACTCAGGAGGAGGAGGATGACTGAGGAGGATGACTGAGGAGGAGGAGGAGGAGGAGGAGGAGGAGGAAGAGGAGGAAGCATCTAAATGTTATTTCAATTTTTGTCCGTTTTTGTCCGTTTTTGTCCGCTTTATTTTTTGTCCGTTTTGAAAATATGGCTGCCAAACGGACAAAAACGGACAAAAAACATGATCCCCCCCCCCCCCCCCCCCCCCCCCCTTTAGAAGCAGAGTTATTTTCTCTGATAGATCCTGAATAGATTTAGTCTTAAAGTTAACACCTATATTTTCGTTCACACATTTGTTGATGTAACCTTCCAAGTCTACTAGTTCCTCGTCGTAAACTTCTTCCTCTATAATGAAACAACAAAGAGCGGCGTCGATCAGAAAGTGGGCTCTCAACGCTTTATAGTAAGATCCTCCATCCGATATATGCGTGACGTCTCCAGGATACACGAGTTTGATGAGCTCCTCTAAACCCGAGTCTGCCATTATATAGCCTATGCAGCCAAGAAAACTCGTGAGAGTGTGGAAGCCCCCAAGTGCCCCAACCCTGACCACAATAGGCATCCCAGTTTCCAGTACTATTCGGGTGGCCTTAATCCACAATGGCAAATCGAATGTGATTATCATCGGCTCACTGTAGGATAACTTAAGACATTCAACCAGAGTAGCATGTACCGTCGAATAGCTGTCTGGGGGTTGGTCAATAATCTGTTGTTTGTTAGTTAACCTTGATATTTGTTAATTGAAGTTATTTCCCGAGTAAGATTTGAAATAAGCGTTAAAAATAATTTGGTGTATTTTTTTCGAAATTTCAATAAAATTGAGGAAAATTGAGAAAAATTCCATTTATTTCGAAAAATAAAGCCCCAATCGTTCTGAAACTATCATTCGCCTGCCATAATGTGGCCATTGCGGTCATTTTGCCCCCCCCCCCCCCTATGGAGATCTCAAGACCTTCGGTAGCCGAATAACCAATATTAGGGGTGGGGCGTATGGGTTCCTGGAGAAAAATGACCATAAAAATTTTTGCCCAAAAGTTTCAGCTGGACGGTTTTTTTTGTGGTTCCTGGGACTATGGACAACACATTCCAGTAGACAAACCTTTGTTAAGAATTTGTTCACAGAAAAATCAACTCTTGCCCTAACTATGAGAAGATGTTTAGAGTGCCAGAATATTGTTTTATTCCTGAAATTGTAAAATCCTTCCAAAATGTCTCCTTCTATCCTGATGATTTTCCGTACATCAAAGCTTTCTTTGGTAATCTAATTTTCAGCACTTCAGTCGTGTGTCATGCCATCGACATTGTGACTTGTGAACTATATATTATAATATATATTTTTGCCGTGAAATTAACAAGTCCTCCGCCAGGGACACATTCCACAGTTTACTGAGAGACTGGGAGGAAGGACACAGCAGTTCCCATTCCTGGAGTACTGAACAGGTATGTGGTATGTAAGGGATCATTCTCTTATAACGGGAGCCAGCTTGAGGGAGGGGGTTGGCAGTGATTATGCTAGTGTAGTTTCTCTACATACAATAGCTGCGTAACGGCGCAGGGGGGGGGGGGGGGGTCTATAATTACCAATATATATGGCTTATGTGAATAATCCCTGAGCAGTCATCATTTGTGTCACTTTTACTCAGCTGTGGTATTTTAATCATGTAATTGAGTTTAACCTGATGAAATGCCGCAAGAAAAGTACGTAATTTATGGACAAAATATATGACATTGTAAATGAAAATAAAAAATTCGTACTTTTAACTTTTACGTAATACTTTTCTTTAGAAATACGAAATTGTCATATTTTCAATTCTCTACAACTATGGATCCAAAAAATATGTCGACAGTAGCCAAGAAGCTCGACCATTTAGGAAAAACTTTAGTGTGGACGACTTGAGGGTTAGGTTAGGATTAGAGCAAGGGTAATGGTTACGGTTTCTAAAGTATACCTTAACGCTAAAGTTTTCTACCATGAAGTCTACCCTTAATGGTTGGGCTTTTTGGATACCGCCCATATTTCTGTCAGTATTCTTAAAAATTTTAATGCAGGTGCTAGGAGAGAGAATGAAGAGTCTTCTGAATCAGAAGCTGCAGCTAGCTATATTCACTCATTTTAGCAAGTTGTTTATCAGCCTACTGTTAAAGGTTAGTCTATCTGCTGTATTCACTCATAATAATATGTATATATATATATAATATATATGGCAAAATATGGCAAAACATCATTTCAATAAAACTCCAATTGTCCAAAGTAAGTAACTCTAAGTGTCCAAAGTAAAAGTGTATTGAACTCTTCTAATAAGTATTAGCTCGTAAGCCCAAGTAAATTTAAATTCCCCGAGTAATTTGGTTTCCAGCCCTTGGGTTTTCCTGTAGGAACCCTTTCAGGGCTTTATACCGAAAGAAGTTGGTAAAGAAATCCTGATCCTTTGTGCTGAGGTTCCTCGGTTCATAATGAACACTAGTGGAGGATCCCGTTCTGATACCCAGAAATCTTTTAGTACGCTTCGTTTCTATCCTCATAGGGGAGAGCTTGAAATCCAGCTGGTAGTACATGATAGCCATGTCAATCTTAGCATCGGACGTTTTTATTGTCGCCACCTTACAGTAGACCAGTTGGCTAGTAGTCTGCCCAACGTTGAACACAAATTCTTTTGAAACCAAAGTATTTTTCTCTGCATACTGTCCGCTCAAAATCTCTTCTTTCTTCTCATTGGGAAGGGCATGTCTGGCAGCCATCCGTCCGACCACCTTTTCAAAATCAGACAAGTTTATTCCTTCCATTACTTGACTGACAAGTTTCTCCTCGAATTTGTCGAATGTGAGACCTCTAACCGCCTCTTGAGCTTGTGTCATGTTGGTTCTTGTCTCTGTGGTACCACACAGGTTCTCTACTATCAGGGAGGCTACACTAACAGGTACGAGCTGTCCAGCCATTTTATTTGAGGGCTGCAAAAGTTGGTTCGTTTAAAACATACATTTTATGGAATGTTAAAGGACTATTAAATGTAAATCTTGACTACCTTATCGGACCTTATTTGAACGGACATTATGTGAACGGACTTAATGTTAAACGGACATTAAAATGAACGCTCGAAGGAGTTCAAAACCATTAGAAATCCAAATTTATTCATCTTTTTTTCAATTTTAACAGATAATTTTTAAATCGATTTTTCATACAGCAAGTAAGAAAAGCAGTCGTTAGGCATTAAAAATGTTAAATGCTGAGCAGATGAGGTATGAAGGTACGTCGGCCATATCCCTCGGAAGATATCCCGGTTTCGAATTATAAATTATCGAGATGGTTGGTATGGTAGATGGTATCGTCGTTGACATGAACCATCGAAGGTAGCCTATGTCAAGTGGGGGGGCTAGAGTGACTACGGTTACTATAAATGACTCAGGGTTCGAGCTAACCTCATCAATACGCTAGGGGGAGCCTTATTAGGATAAGTGACACTATCCGCTGATCATACGCCGTGCGATTATTAATGCTCGTAATACTTCGTGATTATCATTTACTTAGAACTCTAACCTTGAAGCTTGTTAGTATTGGTGATATTGTTTGATTAAAATGTTCTGAGCCATAGGAAGAACGGATATTCCTAACATTCCTAACATTCCTAATGCCGAGGGTTACAAAATAATGACTACAAATTGGTGGTTAAAGTAACACGTAAAATAAGTACTCTCTCTTGAATACAGAGAGAGTATAACTACAATGAATAATATATATCTCAATCCTGACTAATGTTATGACAGTCAATCGTGTGAGAGCTTGCCGTTCTCACCGTGATTACGCTGCTAAAACTCTGCTATTCTGGGAGTTCAGTTACAGTTGATTTAAATATACTCGAACGTGAGTGATCATGTGATACACGTAAAATCGTACAAGAAAAATGTATGGTCAGGAACAGGTTGTGATGATACGGAATATTAAAACGGGGGTATGCAACGACCATTAATGTCAGTAGATGGAATTTTGTCAAAACTGACATTGTCATTAATGGTCATTAATGGTCATTAATGGTCATTAATGGTCATTAATGGTCATTAAATAATTGAAATTCTGAACTATCTTGGAAGCAACATGTCCAAGAAATTTACAATTATGATCACTTTGTATCACTTCTATAAAGTTTCTCACAGCCCCCTACATCGATTGCCAGAGTCTCGTTTGAGAAAACGAATTAATATTCGCCTAATAGAGGCTCGGACCTCGGTTTCGGAATGAGTGCCAAGCACCATTCTGTTATACGTTGGTAACTTGTCTTGTCTGTTTGCTTGTTTGTATTTGACTTAGTATAAATGCTTGTTTGCAGTTGACTTAGTATAAATGCTTGTTTACAGTTGACTTAGTATAAATGCTTGTTTGCAGTTGACTTAGTATACATGCTTGTTTGCAGTTTGCGTGGATTTGAATTGTATTGATTTCCTTTATTTGTGTTGATTGCTTTTGATAATTTGGATTTTCAAGACCTCCTCACAGTACCTTCTATGCCATCGTAAGACGATATTTGGAAATAAAAGTCGGAGATCGAAATTTTTTTTTGGTACCGGCTGTTTCGAGGGTTCTGTGCCATACCAACCGGGCTGCAAAAATTCTTCTAAGCCCTGTCAACGTCGAACAATTCGAAAGGGCGACTCATTAAGTGCTACCTTTGTTCCAAAAAATGCTAAACGTCCCCTTCGTTGCCTCGGTACCATCTTATCAATGAGTGTCTCTGCTTCAAAAAAGGGCAACTGCAGATCTAGACGAATTCCTGCCGCATCAATTTGTCCCTATCATGATGACAGTGCTAAATTTTGGGTCAAAACTTTAAACTGCCAAAGGCAGAGTATTGAACTGTAAACGAATTGTTCTATCTAATCCTAGGAAAATATCAGCTTTGTTGTTGTCCGATTCAGACTGATGACGATGTATTTCATGAGGTGCTAAAGTTGAATAAGTTCATCTACTGTGTAATTACTATATAATCGACTAGCATTTAAATGATTTGGCTAAAATATAAATCTTGATATGATATAAGAACGGGAACGAAGTATTTAATTTTAATACCCGTGTTATTATTATTTTATTATTGATTGTTATTTTACTATTGATACGATCTGATACTCCTAAATTGCCCTTTGAATTATTATTATTATTGATAACTATAAGTCACCAACTGTTTACTGTTATCTGGTTTAAATCCCGTGGCCGCAAAATTTGTTCTTCATTACATTCGAAGTTAATAAATGTAATCCCTAACTCACTCTGGAATCCACTCAAGTGATATTCTGGAAGGTCTGCCTAACCACGGAAGATTCTATTCTAAGTTTTCTCTTTCGAATCTCTAATTGTAAATGTAAAATAATAACATATACTTGTAGTTAGTTAACTTAAGGTAGGGTCTAAGTGATGCAGGCGTCCGTCCTTTTCGCTCTAAGAAGTGCCGGAAAAAACATGACCATTAATGTCAGTAGATGAAATTTTGACAAAACTGACATTGTCATTAATGGTCATTAATGGTCATTAATGGTCATTAATGGTCATTAATGGTCATTAATGGTCATTAATGGTCGTTGCATACCCCCCATTAAAACTGTCCCTTTGACTGTCTCTGCGAAGCACCTACAGCTTTAGACGTCACGAGGCACACTGTTCCTAATCAAGTATTGTATCCTACAAATCGTCTCTCCAGATACTATTTATTCAGGCAATACTATCGAGAATATATCTATTTATATTTTAAACTTGACGAAAAAATCCATAATTTCTACAGTATAACAGAGCTAGATGATGAAGAAAAATTAAAACATAACCGATTTTTTAAATTTCCTCGAACAAAGCTGTTTTAAGTGTCCAAAAGTTTATTCTCTTCTAATAGGTATTAGCTCGTAAGCCCAAGTAAATTTAAATTCCCTGAGTAATTTGGTTTCCAGCCCTTGGGTTTTCCTGTAGGAACCCTTTCAGGGCTTTATACCGAAAGAAGTTGGTGAAGAAATCCTGATCCTTTGTGCTGAGGTTCCTCGGTTCATAATGAACACTAGTGGAGGATCCCGTTCTGATACCCAGAAATCTTTTAGTACGCTTCGTTTCTATCCTCATAGGGGAGAGCTTAAAATCCAGCTTGTAGTACATGATAGCCATATCAATCTTAGCATCGGACGTTTTCATTGTCGCCACCTTACAGTAGACCAGTTGGCTAGTCTGCCCAACGTTGAACACAAATTCTTTTGAAACCAAAGTATTTTTCTCTGCATACTGTCCGTCCAAAATCTCTTCTTTCTTATCATTGGGAAGGGCATGTCTGGCAGCCATCCGTCCGACCACCTTTTCAAAATCAGACAAGTTTATTCCTTCCATTACTTGACTGACTAGTTTCTCCTCGAATTTGTCGAATGTGAGACCTCTGACCGCCTCTTCTGCTTGTGTCATGTTGGTTCTTTTCTCTGTGGTACCACACAGGTTCTCTACTATCAGGGAGGCTACACTAACAGGTACGAGCTGTCCAGCCATTTTATTTGAGGGCTGCAAAAGTTGGTTCGTTTAAAACATACATTTTATGGAATGTTAAAGGACTATTAAATGTAAAACTTGACTACCTTATCGGACCTTATTTGAACGGATATTATGTGAACGGACTTAATGTTAAACGGACATTAAAATGAACGCTCGAAGGAGTTCAAAACCATTAGAAATCCAAATTTATTCATCTTTTTTTCAATTTTAGCAGATAATTTTTAAATCGATTTTTCATACAGCATGTAAGAAAAGCAGTCGTTAGGCATTAAAAATGTTAAATGCTGAGCAGATGATGTATGAAGGTACGTCGGCCATATCCCTCGGAAGATATCCCGGTTTCGAATTCTATATTATCGAGATGGTAGATGGTATCGTCGTTGACATTAACCATCGAAGGTAGCCTATGTCAAGTGGGGGGCTAGAGTGACTACGGTTACTATAAATGACTCAGGGTTCGAGCTAACCTCATCAATACGCTAGGGTGAGCCTTATTAGGATAAGTGTCACTATCCGCTTATCATACGCCGTGCGATTATTAATGATCAAGTCGTAATACTTCGTGATTATCATTTACTTAGAACTCTAACCTTGAAGCTAGTTAGTATTGGTGATATTGTTTGATTAAAATGTTCTGAGCCATAGGAAGAACGGATATTCCTAACATTCCTAACATTCCTAATGCCGAGGGTTACAAAATAATGACTACAAATTGGTGGTTAAAGTAACACGTAAAATAAGTACTCTCTCTTGAATACAGAGAGAGTCTAACTACAATGAATAATATATATTATCTCAATCCTGACTAATGTTATGACAGTCAATCGTGTGAGAGCTTGCCGTTCTCACCGTGATTACGCTGCTAAAACTCTGCTATTCTGGGAGTTCAGTTACAGTTGATTTAAATATACTCGAACGTGAGTGATCATGTGATACACGTAAAATCGCACAAGAAAAATGTATGGTCAGGAACAGGTTGTGATGATACGGAATATTAAAACTGTCCCTTTGACTGTCTCTGCGAAGCACCTACAGCTTTAGACGTCACGAGGCACACTGTTCCTAATCAAGTATTGTATCCTACAAATCGTCTCTCCAGATACTATTTATTCAGGCAATACTATCGAGAATATATCTATTTATATTTTAAACTTGACGAAAAAATCCATAATTTCTACAGTATAACAGAGCTAGATGATGAAGAAAAATTAAAACATAACCAATTTTTTAAATTTCCTCGAACAAAGCTGTTTTAAGTGTCCAAAAGTTTATTCTCTTCTAATAGGTATTAGCTCGTAAGCCCAAGTAAATTTAAATTCCCTGAGTAATTTGGTTTCCAGCCCTTGGGTTTTCCTGTAGGAACCCTTTCAGGGCTTTATACCGAAAGAAGTTGGTGAAGAAATCCTGATCCTTTGTGCTGAGGTTCCTCGGTTCATAATGAACACTAGTGGAGGATCCCGTTCTGATACCCAGAAATCTTTTAGTACGCTTCGTTTCTATCCTCATAGGGGAGAGCTTAAAATCCAGCTTGTAGTACATGATAGCCATATCAATCTTAGCATCGGACGTTTTCATTGTCGCCACCTTACAGTAGACCAGTTGGCTAGTCTGCCCAACGTTGAACACAAATTCTTTTGAAACCAAAGTATTTTTCTCTGCATACTGTCCGTCCAAAATCTCTTCTTTCTTATCATTGGGAAGGGCATGTCTGGCAGCCATCCGTCCGACCACCTTTTCAAAATCAGACAAGTTTATTCCTTCCATTACTTGACTGACTAGTTTCTCCTCGAATTTGTCGAATGTGAGACCTCTAACCGCCTCTTGAGCTTGTGTCATGTTGGTTCTTTTCTCTGTGGTACCACACAGGTTCTCTACTATCAGGGAGGCTACACTAACAGGTACGAGCTGTCCAGCCATTTTATTTGAGGGCTGCAAAAGTTGGTTCGTTTAAAACATACATTTTATGGAATGTTAAAGGACTATTAAATGTAAAACTTGACTAATGCATATTGCATATATTGTGTAATAGGTATTTAGAAAATATCATAATCTAAAAAGCATGGTACAGAAACGTCAACAAATAAAGCGAGCAAACTAGGAGACATAAAGAGGACAATTCGATTGAGGAAACACATCCTGCGGAATGTGGATTGATGAAATGGTAGTTGCATTGTGAGATTTGTGGAAAACTTGCACTGTTTTATAATGGTTCCGTGAGCAGGGTGTGTGTCATATTACTTTTGAGTTTTGCATTTTCTGTGAGAAAGCTGTCATCATCATTGCTGATGTTATTGCTGAATCAGCAATAACATCATTCTTCTGGAGAAGTGTTATCGGCTGTTTTGACCATTATTAGCAATTAGTTAATTAGTGCTATTAATAACACGCACGCTCAGTTACGTAAGACATGTAATAATTATCTGTCTAATATGAAGGTAGTATCTTTCAAACTCACATGATGTATGCTCACGACTTTTTAACCTCGTGAGTCACGAGGTTAAAAAGTACAGAAAGCAGCGTAGCTTTGTTAATCACTTTCGAAAATATGACTAGAGATAAAAAGGAAAACTCCTCTCACTTATATCGAGTTATTTAATGCAATTAAAATTTCAGAAATACAAGTCTGATTTGTGTGAGTTGAAACGTAACTCTACTGATAAACTGAAGAAGTAAGTTTCTTCTTATAAGTGAGCTTTATTTAAATTTATAATGTACCTAAAATTAAAAACCAGTGCTTGAATAAATTAATTTATATTGTTCAGCATTTAAACATTTCTGAATGGCTTCAGGTTACAGACAAGACTATCGGAAAGTGACAAAGTTTCGAGTAAAATATGTGGACCGGCAACTTTTCCTAAATCTCAAGACTTCTTCAAAACTTTTATTGTCGTGTCCCAGAAGTAAGTGTTTACTTTTAACCAACTATTTCTCACTAATTTTAAGTTTAATTTGTGCGACCGAGAGTAGTGCGCATGTGAGACGTGAGTGTTTACTGTCCATATAATAAGTTAACGTGCATTTGTACCACTACTACAATAATTTCACGTGCAGCGTGCACGACCTACACGTGTGCACGTGCAGTGTGCACGTGTATTTTATAACAGGTCAATGTTTCAGTTATTCGTTAAACAAACACTTGACTGACCACCTAATAGGAAAGATAGCTCTGTTAGATAAACAAACCAAGAGCTTGTTCACTGACAGTATCGACCTAGACCAAGTAAGTGTAAATACTTTTAATAACACTTTAATTTGCTTAAATAATTAGCTATAATTAGATTCCACTTTTTGAAATGTACGCGACAAATTGTAACCATTTTCTTACGGAAGATCATATTATTTCAGAGTGACCTACAGGAAGATTTCAGCTGGAACCTGTTGTCAGTGCAACTTCTGGGCAAGTTCCTTGGTCTAGTGTGGTACATGCCGTACTATACCACCCAGAAGATTCCTCCTACAGTCTTGACTACTCTTAGAGAGACTAGAACTGAGGTATGTGGAGAGAGGTGTGACAGTAGTGTGACAGTAATGTGACAGTAGTGTGACAGTAATGTGACAGTAGTGTGACAGTGATGTAGCAGTAATGTGACAGTAGTGTGACAGTAGTGTGACAATAGTGTGACAGTAATGTGACAGTGATGTGACAGTGGTGTGACAGTAGTGTGACAGTAATGTGACAGTAATGTGACAGTAGTGTGACAGTAATGTGACAGTAATGTGACAGAGGTGTGACAGTGATGTAGCAGTAATGTGACAGTAGTGTGACAGTAGTGCGACAGTAGTGTGACAGTAATGTGACAGTAATATGACAGTAAATTGAACCTTGTAATATTGTGGAGCGCTAATATTATAAATCTTCAGCCATTTCCCCTTGATCTGGATTGGTATCTAAACCAAAGTATAGCAGACGGAACCCTGACATTAACACTACCCTGGGTATGTGAGCTGCTGGTTATGATGGATGCTGTGTGCGCCACGCTGAAGAGGAGCAAAGTCCTCTTGGCCGCTGTTAATAACCTTTACAATCAGGTTAGTCGTGATTTCAAGTACTGTTATTACTTAAACATGTTAAATACTTATTCAAGAACTGTGTATCGAAATTGTGGATAGAAAAGGGAGGGATATTAATCAATTGTAGTGACATATTAAGTCACCATTTCATAGATTGTCACTTCCATATTGATTATAAAAGTGAATCTTCTGCTTTATCTTATGGAACAGGAAAAACTGCATGCATTTATTTCGGGATATTGATCATTAACAATAATGTGACCCATGACCCGTTTCTCTCGTAGCTGTCCAGTCTACCGATACGACAGGAGAACAAGTTGATGCTGCTCTTCAAGCTTGGAAGAGTAACGGAACTGTTGCTAGTACCACATGGACTCTACACCTCAGACTCCACTTCTAGTTTTGATTATGAACCCACTCTGGTATGTCTTATTTACAGTCTGATCATTTACCACGTACAGTTTTTCCACGAAAAGTTACAATTGAAACTGTAGGAATATGTGATGCATAGGGTATACACTCGCACATGCCAGCAACCACATCACACTTGTGTTCAGGACGCGTTACCGTTACTGAATAGTACCCTACTTTACGCATGCTGTCCCTGGCTCTCAACCCTACAACAAGTCATCCTGAAACAGCCCCTCTCTGACTCCACCTCCGTCCCCCTCACCCCCACCAAGATGTCCCTTGTAACCACGGACAACGGAACTCTTCTCCAGCTCCGTGAGAATTTCTTCCACCACCAGCCCCATACTGTTCGGAAGGTATGTGAGTTTGTGTGTGAAAGAGTACACTCCAATTCTCTGTTAGAGTTACAGGCACGATTAGTTCCCATGGTAAAGGATGAGACGGGGAGTGAGATAAAATCCTGGATTAACGATCAAGATCCGAAGGAATTACTAGAACATTCCCTGAACTCCAGACTACAGTTTTTCCTAGGCTCCCTGGTATGTAAATGTTGCGAGGGAGTGAAGGAGCAGTGTATGGAGCTGGTTTTAGAGTTTTGTCAGACGTCTTGTGATAGGTTTATGAAGGATTTGTTGCCCGCTAATACGGAGAGCAGTGTAGTTGCTGTGGCGACGCGCTTAACTGTAGGTAAAGCACGTGGTAAATGCGCGATATGGTGGAACACCATGGCGATGAGTTTTGTGGAGAGGGAGGTTCAGCAGATATCAGATATTCACATCAAACATGTTCTGAGCGAGGTGAGGAATTTGGAGGTTGAGGAATGTGAACTAAGATCGCTCAAGGGTTGTGTGAGTGATATTTTATTGGACAGAGAGTCAGAGGATGGTTGTTGTTTTGATGATTCTGGGAAGATCTCGGAAGGGAAAATTGAGCGGCTTATGAAACTGGTTAAAGATACCGTGATTAATAAAGAAAACACCTCACTATTTCAAAATGTCGCCGATGGTACAGTTGATGTTTTGATAGAGTACATATCAAATCCATCTACAACTCTAAAATGTGATCTGCGCCGTGGTGATAATTTAGGAGATTCCTCAAATACCGAGTCAGTGACGCCGAGATTAGAACCCAAAACACAAAGCAAACTCCCTAATTTAGACGGCACTGTGGACCTCCTGGATCCTACAACCCACCTACTCCTACTTCTCCGTGATAAGAAGGGAGTGGAAATACCTCTTACCAAACTTCCCTCTCAAGTATCCCACCACCTTCTTACTAGGAATGTGAAGAATGTGAACTGTCAGAACTCGTCCTCAGAGGACAGGTTTGTAGAAATTTGTCTGAAACTCATCTATATTGGCGTGTTATCTCCCCCCAGATTGGAGCATTGGTTGCTGTGGTTGCTTGAGACATCTGATAAGGAAAGCAAGTGCAAGGTGGTTGCCATGGCAACGAGAATGATGGACAAATATTTTGAACTTAAAGCGGGCGTATTACAAGGAAGGTTAGATACGTCCCGAGGGTTGCTTATTTTGTAAAGCAGTACATAGTCTCTGATTTCGAGATTTTAAGGAATACACTAAATTCGCTGTAAAGTTAAATTAAAATGATGAAACGGGAATTCGCGAGTAATTTTGTTTTATTTTCTCCGTAAGATTTGTTATAATTGAGCCGTGATTTTTGTTTAAGCTTTTGTGCACTGTTACGTTTGATATATTCTATAAATAGTACTTGGGTATATTTATATCATATTATTTACGTTGTTTTTACTGTATTATGTTTCTGGTTTTTATTATTAAAGCTGTTTGATTCCAAATAGCTCGTTTTTCTGGTTTACATGGAAATAGAAATATCAACAAACAATTAGATTTAAATAGTCGCACTTGAAATACGGCTTTTTAGCACTATTCAACAAAAAATCCGAACTTATAAGATAATAGATTGAATAAGACTAACATCAACTGTAAATTAGGAACATGTCTGACTCAGAGTGGTCCAAGAGGAGAAAAAGGTAACTTATTATTTAATCTGTGTTCATTTATTGTTCGTTAATTGTTGTTAATTGTTCGTTAATCGTTAATTGTTCGCTAATTGTTCGCTAATTGTTAATTGTTCGCTAATTGTTCGTTAATTGCTCGCATGCTTATTTCGTGATTCTTCATCACTATTGATTTATCATCAGATTATTACTGGTATTTAACCTGATGACCTGATTTATTTTCATGGACAAAATTTGGATAAAATGATATTTTTAACTTACATACAAATATCATAAGTTTAATTCAAAACTTGAAACAAGAGTTAATTCTCTGAAGACGGACATCTGAACCAATTCAACATCTATAAGAATCATCTATATCTCCAATAATCGACTAATTAATTATTATTAATAACCATTTAATTAATTATAATTAATAACCATTTACATCAACAAACCGTCACAGGAAGAAATCTAGCAAGGAGAGCGCTCCAGTTGAAATGGTTGTAGTCACTCCCGAGCTGAAACACAAGATGATGGACCTTATTCAAGCAATTATGAGGTTAGAAATCTTAGTAAAGTTTATGATTTATCCTCGAAACATTGTGTTGTGACATTTCGTGTGGCCAGCGTCCCTTAGTTTTGTGGCAATGGTGAGTATTAATTAGTATGATATTTGGGCTCAATTGGCTCAGTGGCTCAGTCGGTTAATCCGCCTGTCTACTGGCCTGGAGGTTGCGAGTTCAAATCCCAGTTGGGCCAAAATATCAAAAACTGAAGGGCAGCCGTCACTCACCAAACCATGGTGTAAATGGTAGGTAGTGGCTTTCATTAGAGCTGCGAAAATAACACGAGTGTATATGCCTGGGGTTGCGCCCGAAAGGACCGTGGCCGCACCGCAAAAGAAAAGGAGATCGGCCCCTCTTTCCTAGCTTGCTAGGTTCGCCATTGTTGTTGTAATTGTTGTTGTTGTTGTTGGGCTCAATCTCTATTTCTCCCCCAGGAAAGATATTCACATGATATTCGCGGAGCCGGTGAGCGACATGATTGCACCTGGTTACAGTACCATCATTCCTAACCCAATGGACCTGAGCACTATGCAGGTATCTTTTTTCTTTTTTCTTTTTTTTCTTCTTTTTTTATTGTTGATATAGATTATAGAGTTACTTGCCACTTAGGTCCAGGATCATTATATAATACATCACGCCGGACTTCTAGGCAATGTGCTTGGTTGTCTTGGTTAGGGGTCGTTCACATATTACGTAATCAGCTGAGGGGGGGGGGGGGGGGTTTCCGAATGATTACGCTAGTGTAATTTTGACACAATAGCTATGTGTAAAACTGATTACGGAGGGGGTAAAAATGTTCCAAAACATGGTTACGTAATATGTGAACGACCCCTTATCTTGGTTATCTTGGTAATCTTCATTTACTCCACCAATAGTATTATTGAAGCACAGAAATAATCTACCAGTATAATTTGTAACTCCATATTCAAGTCTGTAAGTTCTGAAGCTCACAAAATAAGATTTCACGATTAACAGGATGCAGGTCACAACCGTCGTGTACGTTTCTGATTGAGCAGTGGTTCTGATTGGTTTCAAATCTTCGTCTTCCATAGTAGCTTGATATAGATTAGAAAGGGTGCAACCGTCTGGCAGACAAACTGTTGAACACGTGATTGTCAGACAGTTTCTTGGGGCGTATTTCACCAATTTTGCTAATGAAATGAAATGAAAACGCATTTATAGTTAGTTTATTACTATTAGTTTGCCCCAAAGTTTGCCAAACTGTTGAACACGTGATTGTCAGACAGTTTCTTGGGGCGTATTTCACCAATTTTGCTAATGAAATGAAATGAAAACGCATTTATAGTTAGTTTATTACTATTAGTTTGCCCCAAAGTTTGCCAAACTGTTGAACACGTGATTGTCAGACAGTTTCTTGGGGCGTATTTCACCAATTTTGCTAATGAAATGAAATGAAAACGCATTTATAGTTAGTTTATTACTATTAGTTTGCCCCAAAGTTTGCCAAACTGTTCATGTTGAACACGTGATTGTCAGACAGTTTCTTGGGGCGTATTTCACCAATTTTGCTAATGAAATGAAATTAAAACGCATTTATAGTTAGTTTATTACTATTAGTTTGCCCCAAAGTTTGCCAAACTGTTGAACACGTGATTGTCAGACAGTTTCTTGGGGTGTATTTCACCACTTTTGCTAATGAAATGAAATGGTCGCATCTTAAAACGATCGCATCTTAAAACGATGCGACCTTGATCAAATTGTCTTAGACTTCTGTAACAATGCTCTATTGAAAGGTGAGAAACCAGACCAATGGTCAACTGCCAACATTATACCAATTCTAAAGAAGGGCGACCTTAGCGAACCAATGAACTATCGGAGAATAAGCGTGTCATCCCTAGTTGCCAAGGCTCTAAACAAGATGGTCCTAAACCGGTTGAAGCCAGAAATCAAGACAATTCTGCGCAGAAACCAGAATAGATTCAGACCAGGAAGGTCAACAACTCAACAGATATTGGTACTGAGGCGTCTTATAGAGGGTGTCAAGAGTCGGAAACTGCCAGCTGTTCTGACATTTATAGACTTTAAGAAGGCTTTCGACACTGTTCGACAGTCGACAGTGTACATCGTGGGAAAATGTTTAAGATTCTAGAAGCTTACGGCATTCCAGTCAAAATCGTACAGCTTATACGGCTCAATGCTCATGTACGAGAAGACAATGGCCAAAGTCCTAACTCCAGACGGAGAAACGGAATTGTTCGAGATATTCGCAGGTGTGTTACAGGGTGATACCTTAGCACCTTACCTCTTTACAATAGTTATCGACTACTGTATGAGGCAAGCCATAGGCGATGATGCGGAGCGACTTGGACTCACTCTCGAATGTAGAAAAAGCAGAAGAGTGGGGCCCAAGATCATCACCGATGTGGACTTTGCAGATGATATAGCACTTATATCTGAGGACATGGACAAGGCTAACGAGTTCCTGCTCAGAGTAGAATCGGTGGCAGCAAGCGTGGGGCTACACATAAACGAAGGCAAGACCAAGGTCATGACGCTGAATATGGAGGATCGATCTAGCGACCTACTAAGTCGATCCGGGGAAGCCATAGAAAATGTGGATGATTTCATCTACTTGGGCTCTTGGATTGAGAGCACAGATATAATAGGGAGATAAGGGTTAGAAAGGGAAAAGCGTGGGGTGCCCTATAGGAACCGACCGGAAATCCGGCTGAATCCGGTTCCGGCCGGATATCCGGCTTCAAAATCCGGTTTCGGTTCCGGCTCCGGCTGGAAAAAATTTGCCGGATTTTTGCCGGATTTGAGTTTTTTTTACCGAAAAAAAATCAAAAAAATATTTTCGGCTAATAATGAACAGGGTAGCCTGAATTGTGGAAAAAAAGTGGTTTTCAGAAAAACTTTAAAAAAATTTTGACTTAGAAGTTTTTCGGTCCGAGTCGTTCTCGAGACGTACCTCCTGTATCGAGAGCTCCCGCTTCCGAGCTCGTGTTGCAAAGGGGAGGCCTGCCTTCCAAGATCACATTACCGGGGAAACCTCGAGTCCAGAATTGTGTATCGATGGGTAGGTGCGGACTTCGAAAAACCGAAAAAATATTTTCGGCTAATAATGAACAGGGTAGCCTGAATCGTGGAAAAAATTGGTTTTCAGAAAAACTTTGAAAAATTTTGACTTAGAAGTTTTTCGGTCCGAGTCGTTCTCGAGACGTACCTCCTGTATCGAGAGCTCCCGCTTCCGAGCTCGTATTGCAAAGGGGAGGCCTGCCTTTCGAGATCACATTACCGGGGAAACCTCGAGTCCAGAATTGTGTATCGATGGGTAGGTGCGGACTTCGAAAAACCGAAAAAATATTTTCGGCTAATAATGAACAGGGTAGCCTGAATCGTGGAAAAAAGTGGTTTTCAGAAAAACTTTGAAAAATTTTGACTTAGAAGTTTTTCGGTCCGAGTCGTTCTCGAGACGTACCTCCTGTATCGAGAGCTCCCGCTTCCGAGCTCGTATTGCAAAGGGGAGGCCTGCCTTTCGAGATCACATTACCAGGGGGATCCTCGAGTCCAGAATTGTGTATCGAGGGGTAGGTGGGGACTTCGAAAAACCGAAAAAATATTTTCGGCTAATAATGAACAGGGTAGCCTGAATCGTGGAAAAAAGTGGTTTTCAGAAAAACTTTGAAAAATTTTGACTTAGAAGTTTTTCGGTCCGAGTCGTTCTCGAGAAACCTTGAGTCCAAAATACAGAATAATGTATCGACTATCGAGGGGTAGGTGCGGACTTAGAAAAAACCGGAAAATATTTTGGGCCACCTCCCTGGGCTAGCCCCCGGCTATAATCGCAAAATTGGCAGTATTTAATCTTCTGATATGAAATACGAAATATGAAGGTCACGTGTTCAGGGTCTGGGTAGCTACTTAATTAGCTCATTACTGCAATCATGTGACTCAGCTCTAGACGCCAGACGGTGATTAGTACTGTACTAGACAGTGCCTGCTTACGAACAACCTTATTAAGCACCTCTGGTTGTAAGTCACGTGACCCAATGATACTCAGACTTGCATGAAAAAAAGGGAATTCGCACAAACGCGCTCAATCAGGGGTCTGGCAGCATATGCCAATTAGATATCATTTCTGATTATTACTCGTCTAGTGTCGTGACTCGTGTCTACTCGTGTTACATTGTGTCTGCTACGTACTGCTTGTTTAAGCAATGTCTAGTAGTAGATAGGAAGATTTGTAAAAAAACTATATCTGTTCGGACGTTGAAGCCGCCCTAAGTCGAGTCGAGTAGTAGTAAATCTAAAACATCGTCCGTCTGGTTGTTCTACTCAGAAGAAAATGGGATCCCTTATGCAAGCTGCAAGAAGTGCTCGATGAAGATTAGGCGTGGAAAGGAAGGAAATTTTCCGGCAACATCCGGCAAAAACCGGCAAAATCCGGCAAAATCCGGCTGCCTTTTATTTCACTCTGAAACCACCGGTTCCGGTCCGGCAAAATCCGGCTTGCCGGATTTGAGATCCAAATCCGGCTGAATCCGGTCCGGCAGCCAAAACCCCAATCCGGTCGGTTCCTAGTGCCCTACATAGACTGAAGGATATCTGGAAATCCAAACTCGCAAAGAGCCTACAAATTACATTGTTTATAGCGGCTTGTGAATCAGTACTGCTCAACGGATCAGAAACCTGGAAACTGACAAAGGCTCAAGAGAAAAGTTTGGACGGGACATACACAAAGATGTTGCGTATGGTGCTGGGTATCTCATGGAAGGACAAGGTCAGCACTCAGCAATATAACTTTGTATTGTAGCCTAGTGCCTACCAATGCTGTCAAACAAGTTACGAAGCAGGAGATTAAAAATGGTGGGACACTGCATCCAACATCTTGACTCCTGAGCTACTTGCCAGTGATTTAGTCTTATGGAAACTTACGCACGGTACAGCACAACAAGGCCGACCAAGACAAAGCTACTTGTCTATGTTACTGAAGGAAGTTGGGACAAAATAGGAACTGCGAACCCTGATGCGAGACAGGGATATATGGAGGGGGTTTCTGGTGTAGATCGGACTTAGTTCCGACATAGTAATAGTAGTATGAAATGAAAACGCATTTATAGATAGTTAATTAGTTTGACCCATCCATCTTGACAATCTGCACCATTTCAAGATAACCAAAAAGTGCTGCTTTCAATGTCTCACCAATAAAATTACGTAATCTAAAGACAACTTCAACTTTGCTATTAAAAAAGGTAATTTTTATGTTATAATTTATAAATGATCAAAATGTTCAGAAGTGTCTATTGATAATTTCCTCCCACAACGGTTAAACTCTGAAAGGGATGATTTTATAAGCGACCTATTAATATAATTCATTACAAACCCTCACGTGCCACACTAACGTTAGGACGGAGCTCCATTTTAATGACATAGCCAACATAGGGTGATGGTGTTGATGTAATAGGAATTGACAGAAAGCTTCTGTCATGACTGTCTGGTACAAATTTAGGACCATATATAGTGTTAAAACAAGGAACTGAAACCGAGGAGTTCCGTTCAGGCCTTTCACA